CTCCAGATGATTCAGCCTGCAAAACAATTAACAGAAGTCACAATTTACATAATGTAATATCCCAGAACACATTCATGTTGTAACGTTAGTTTCCATGATTTGCTGCAAAGCACCGGAGTTCAGTTAAAGCATGTCCTCAAAATGTTTTTCTCATTTGATATTATCTACTTGCTGAATACAGGTTGAAAGAGCAGTAGGAATATGCAGAAAACATCATCACAAACATTAAAATTAGTTATTTTTGTTAAGTAATCTTGAGGTAGTCACCTTAGTTGGTTTGTCTGGTAGTTCTCCTTTCTTCTTGGTCGGCTTCTTTTTGATGGGTTTCTTGTCTCTTCTGAAAAACAAAGTTGGTTGACTCAACAAAATGCACTATAATCCTACTGGTTTCCTTAAACTGTGATAATAGCCTACAAAACAAGGAGATTGATGGGAATGGGAAAAAATGAGTGAGCAAACAACAATTCTGAACAAAAGCAAATTAGAAAGTGAACAGAGCGTAAATAACATTTCAAGCAAATGTTTATCTCACTTCAACTTGACTTAAGAACGACCAAAAACACTTAGCTTACTTTAATCTGTACGAGTCAGCCTGATTTTCAGCAGCTGTGATAAGTTTTTGTAGATCTTGCTGTTTCTTCTCCCTCTCTTTCTTACGCATTTCAATTTTCCTCAGTTCCGCAACAAGCATTTCCTCTTCTTGGACCTAAAAAAAATTGTTTCAGAAAAATCAGTGCTCCAAATATTGGTTTGAACCCCCCTTCCCTTTGGAAATTCCTATTTAGATTCATAATTTCCTTTAAAAATTCGGAATTTGAAGACCCTTCCTCGCCCATAGGATTTACTATGACCCTCCATGTTCTACATTGTAGGTATGGATAATTATTGTTTTTCTAGGAACACATTACCTCTGGTTAAAAACTTCTTACACAAAACATAAATCACTTAGAACAGAAGGAAAAGTCATGAAGACAACCCAAATCCAATCATTTTGCAATGTGTCTGAAGTATTCATCTAAAACATCACAAGTAACATTAAAATACAGTAAGAACAAAGATGTGGCTAATCCTAAACTACCACTATAACAAGAAAAATAAATTGCTGTAAATGTACCTGTTCTTGTGTACGGTTAAACAACTTTAAAAGTTGTCTTTTTCTTTCTGTTTCATGTTGGCTGTCGTATGCTGATGGTAAGTTTTGTGCTTCTTGCCCAGGTGGAGCTCTTGCCTACAGGAACAATAGATTGTCCATGAAGTTTTTATTGCTAAAAATTTGATTCCAAAATAAAAACTGTATTATATTAGTGTACTGTTTTCTTTAAATGCTGGGGAGAGAGAAAAATTTGGGGATGGTCCAGTATCCCAACCAGAAAGAAGATACTGTAAAATTCCGAAAATGAGCCCCGGGGCTTATATTTTTCAAAAGCCCTTTTTGAGGAGCTTATTTTTGGAGGAGCTTATATTCGGAGTGACTTATGTACGGTGGGAAATTTGCGTTTCAAAATCGATTGGGCTAGCTTGTAGTGGGAAGGAAATTTTATACCATTTTTGCTTTGTTTTACTTTGTATTCGAGAGCAAATTCCATGTACAAGCCCCCCGGGGGGCTTATATTAGGAGGGGCGATTTAACGGAGGATTTTTGCGTTACGATTTTGAGGGGCTTATATTTGGAAGGGCTTATACATGGAGGGGCTTATTTTTGGAATTTTACAATATACCGGTACTCCATATCAATCTCTGTTACAGAAAGCTGATAAAATAATGTGCAAATGTGCAATAGAATAGCATTCCATCCCAGGATTAGCATTGCTCCTAGATGCTTCACATACTACTAGACTGGGTTTCCTGTGGTTCACTTGACAGCTTGCCATTGCTACCCTTTGTAATAATTTTAGACACTGATCCCAGTTACCTTAAGAAGTTTTGTAACACAGCTATAATAGCGGTCCTTTAATTCTTCAATGGTTCTAGCCTGCAGCAAGAATATAAGAATATAAGACTAGTTATGTAGTTCAAATCAATGTCAATGTGCAATTCCAACAAAGGTTACTAAATGGATTGTAAAGGAAACAAAAGTGCAAAAGCGTAAAACACTTACAATGAAACAGATTAACAGTCTATAATTTCAGTAAAAATACCTGATACTGTTCCTTGTCAAACCGGTCATGTATCACTATAAAACGAAGATCAAATCGTCTAAAGGAAAACAAAAAAAGAAAATAAATTAATAAAACATACTGAATTGATTGACTGGCCATCAACCAGATGCAACATTTACAGAGCTAGGAGTTTTGCTTTTACGTCTTAACAACTGTTTATATCAGTGTTGTATGAAAAAACTGCTCTAATGTTTCAATATCAAAATAATATTTCATTTTTTTTCACCTGCAAAGATCAAACAAGTGATCAGTCTCACTTCGTGTCCATGTTGAGGGGGGTCCATCATGGAGATACATCTGTTCAATTTGAAAAATTTGTGTTTAATAATTAAACCCTTGGAGTAACTGTCGCACATAATAGAGAGATTAAGATTCATGTTTATGCCAAACGGCAGATGTGAATTTCTACCACGTGACCAAGTTTTCCCCTTATTTTCTGTTTACTCTTCATTGCTTCTACACAAAAATAAGTAGTTTTATGCCAGTTTTAAACACAGGAATTGTTTGGGACTGTTTTCATCTGCTTATTTTCTATTCTGAGAAATTCTCAACTTGAGTCTGACAATTGACGTTTGCGGTAAACGTGAATCTTAATCTCTCTAATGTTCCATTTTCAACTCACTGATTAATCAAATAAAAATGGTTCTGAGGACGCAATAACAAAGTAAAAAGAGTCTAAATCATAGAATAAATTCTCCTCAACAGCACAAGAAAAAAAAATAGAATGGGGCATGGAGAATATGCATGCTGATATTACAGTTTACAGGCTTGGGGTAACTTTGAGGCTACATGTAAATGAAACTAAAGTACTGAGGCTAGATGAGACTAAACATTAATGCATCAACAGAATGAAACCAACAACAGGGGGACGTCTATGACAGAATTTATGCTGTAGGTTTGTTGTAAGCAGTGTTCTCACCAGGATTTTGCCTTGGGGAGTCCCAGGGCCCCCTCTTCTGAGAAATAGGGGCCCTGTAAGAACATTAGGGGGACAAAGTTACAAAAAACACGCGGTACGAAGAACCTGAGCCCGCACTCCAAATTGTCTGTTACATGAAGTACCTACCTGATCCAATATGGCGGAAGAGGTGTTTACGATTCGGAGGAGGAGTTTACAATGTAGTGGGACGTGCGTGGGACCAATGAAAGTAAAGGCAACAAAATTAAAGACTTTGACTCATTTGATATCATGTTTTTTTATTTATTCAAACAAACAGAATGCTTTAGTGTTAGGGTGACCATTAAAACTACTTAAGTCCATTTGACTCGTAGCTTGCCCCTGCGCCCTAACGGGCGCATCTTCTTGGTTTTAATGCGCCATTTCAGTTTTTTCTTGCGGGAATCCCGCAAGGCCGCAGCCTGGTGAGAACACTGTGTAAGCACAATGCAAGTGAGACAAAGGTGTACATGCAAGTACCATGTCAATTGACAGTCTCAAGACAGTTTTCATTTTACATTAACATTTTCCTTCTTTTATCCCAAAAAAGGAAATTTACCCTAGCAACAAGGAACTTATTTTGAGAATCCTAACCTGGTATTCTTCATCTGTATAACTTGGAACATCAACTTTCTGTAAAAAAAAAAGAATTATCAAATGTCTATGGCTATCCTCTGCTCTATAGACAGATGTCAATGCTCATAGTCACTGTAACTTAACCTTCTGTAATAAGAAATAATGTTGATCAGTATCTAAATATCACTTCCACTATCACTTCCTAGAATTCCCTAGAAATAGCACTGTAAGTCAGGATGATTGAAGGGCCTCTGCTTCCAGCGTATCCCTGACACTGCTTGTACCAACTTTTGCCAAAGCTCTATTAATAAGCTGGCAACTTCTATGAGACAGCCTACTTGACCCTCACTCAGTGTTTATAGATTGATGATTGATGATTGCAATCTAATAATCATATTTTTTTAAATAAAACAGTCGACTCTCTCTCAGCAGATACAATTGTAAGGAAGACATTCGACTGTAATATTACAGTCATTATTGCACGCAGTCACAGGGTTTTCAATTATAAGAGCTGGTGGCCGGCGAAATTTGCCGGCTATTTTACGTGAACTTGCCACCTACTTTTCTTTGGAAATTAACCCAGTTTAAATAAAGTATTCATGTGCTGTCACTGAATAAAAAAGCCAAAATTTAATGATGTCTGTGTTTTGTTCAAACACTCTAATTTTTGCCCCAGAATGCTGGAAATGCATTCTAGGAGGCCCAGAAACTCAAGCCTTTGCTGGAAGTTTTTTCCCTCTCCACCTACTCCAAAGCTTTTGCCACGTACTTAAAATCTTATTGAAAACCCTGAGTCAAGCTAAACCTACCTTGTTAAACCTAGCAAATGGATAATCTTTTCCTTCATCTGCTGCTCTTCTCCAGTGATACAACACTGCGCCATCTGTGCGAGCCGGGTTGGTAAAAGGCACCCACTTCCAAGCTCTGACATGTCGTCTACCTAGCTTTGCTTTCATCTGTTTATATCCATGACTTGTATCTGTTGACGAAAGGGGTGGGGAATCCCTACACAGAGAACATACCTTCCATCAATCACTTTTTAACCAACATGTCTGACTCAACATTTATCAAACTGTTTAACTTTTTACTTGTAACTCTCCATAAACAGTCATTGATTTTCAAACCTGATCACATACAAACAGGTACATGTTGGACTGGGGATCATACAACCCTGGGATCCCTCATGACTGGGATCATACAACCCTGACCTGGTATGGTAATTTTGTAATCACGATTACAACAAGCCTGTCAAACTGCCAATTTGTAACATTTCAGATCATAAGACTACCCTAAACGATTTGAGCTACTCCAATCGATCACCCAATGATTAGCCATTCAGGCTTATATTAAGGTGGTCATTAGCAAAAATATTATTCGCTGTACTCGACCTCTAGTACTTTTTAAAAAATTAATCGATTAGCTGGGTGTACTGATATTAAATTTGCAACAGTCTGTAGACTGAATTGTTCACGGCTCTAACCTGCTATCACTGTACAACAAAGCATACAGCTCTCGGTGCATTCCCTCTGGGCGTTTGAAGCTTGGTTCGTTTGCCCTTCTTAACTTTCTTGCCTGTGAAATCAGTAAAATTATCACTGAATTACGTGTTATTGTAGAGAAACTAAAACAAACAGCAGAATTAAATAACTTGCAATTCTTCAATGCATATGATAATAGAAGATTATAGGTATATATTTTATCCTGGCTCTTCAGTCAGTTAAACGTTTATACGTCAGCTCTCGGGAGGTGAATATACCGTTCTGTATTCTTGTTTAAGCCGTTTCGGACCAACAATGAAGTGCGTTCATTACCTTGTTTCCTCCAACAATAGCTTCTTTGCTTGGAACAGAAGCGCCTTGCTCTAACTCCAAAATGTCTCGGATATCACTCATGTTGGTAATCTATCGGGTGTAATAATTACCAATAGATATTTAAAAGTATAGGATCTTATGGAAAAGTATTTAGGACTGCCGGAAAACAATATTTTTTCGAATGATACAGAAGATGGCCAAAACGAATGTCGGTCGTTTCGCCTACAAGTCGTTTCGCCTACAAGTCGTTTCGCCTACACGTAGGTCGATTCGCCTACACGATCAAAGTCGTTTCGCCTACAGAGTTGCGATTGAAGATCGATAAGTATTAAACTAAAACAAGTTTAATTTTACCTTTTGCCGAGTTGAGGCGTGTCAACAACCGATCTTTCTTCACACTCAGATCGATCCGCCTACACGATCAAAGTCGTTTCGCCTACAGAGTTGCGATTGAATATCGATAAGTATTGAACTAAAACAAGTTTAATTTTACCTTTTGCCGAGTTCAGGCCAAGTAAAAAAGGAGTTCCACAACAAACACAACTCACGCGGTAAAAGTGTCAAAATGCCGCCATCTTGTTAGCACGTGCTACAACAATTCATGTGATTATGACGTCGAAGATTAAGACTACAGTAGGCGCAGGCTAAGACAAAAAGTAAAAACTCAAATGATAACACAGCAATATCGTCATGGTAAGAGGAGATTGCTGGGAACGTCTTTATACATATATTGACTCTCTCTATATATATTCTACCATTTTTATTATTTACAATCTAGTAACCTATTACACTCGGGGACATGTGGGTATCCAAGTGATACCCGCCCCGCTGGTCTAAACTGGTCGCCAACTGCTTTTTCCTTGATAGAGGACAAGACTCTAGCTGCTGTCGCGGTACCGACTACTGGTGGATGATTATGTTCTTGTTTCTTGTGCTTTATGAATGTTCAAGCTTTTATACTCGAGGACACTGATTTCATTAATTCAAGAGGATCACATTAATTCATCTTAACCGTGATTTGTTGATTTCCTCATTCATTCAATTGGTTTAACTGATGCTAATTATTTGCCTTTTAGAAACGCATTACAATAGCACGAGCGCGTGTTTCCTGAGAGGGAAACCTTCCTTTGTCTATTAAACACTTTCAACCCCGCTCACGTTAGAACATTGGCGATGAGAACATAGTCTCCCCACCGAAAATTAAAGTCGATTACCCCTAATCCCTAAACTGAACGTTAATTTACCGAACCGCGCGTGGACTAGAACAAGGATCCATCGCAAAGGACTGGGATCCAGTGAATTCCGACTTGATGAAAGGAAAACCGGACAAAAATGTGCCGTTTCACAGTGCATCAAAAAAAGACATGAAATGACACTGGTACGATTATTACGTTTAAGCTTTACTGTTATTTATACACTGTTATATTATAAGTAATTCATTGTAGGCGAAACGACTTTGATCGTGTAGGCGAATCAACCAGAGTGTAGGTGAAACGACCTGTAGGCGAAACGACTTGTAGGCGAAACGACCGGTTACCGCCAAAACTATCTGTGCGCCGCCATTTTTGTGTTGGTTTCTTTCCCAGATCCTCACGGTCAGCCTCACGTTCGCGTGCATAAATTCCTCTCTCGAGTGATCTTGCAATTAGCTTAGGAAATCTTTTATTTTTGTAAGTCTGAAAGGTTAGTCTCAGCTATCTATTTATGCCTCTGCAATGGTTCGGGTGGCATTCATTCATCCTGATCTTGGAATTGGAGGAGCAGAACGTCTTGTAGTGGACGCTGGTTTAGCCTTGAAATCGCGTGGACACGAAGTTCACTTTTTTACCTCACACCATGATAAATCGCACTGCTTCGAAGAAACGAGAAATGGGTCCTTAAATGTTACTAGTGTTGGAGACTGGCTTCCTAGACACTTTTTTGGATACTTCTATGCTTTTTGGGCTTACCTAAGAATGATTTATGTGGCTATTTACCTTATCTTTTTCTCTTCATGGCGAATGGACGTCATCATTTGTGATCAAGTGTCTGTCTGCATACCGGTTCTAAAACTGAGCAAAGCGCGTGTGGTCTTTTACTGCCATTTTCCGGATATGCTTTTAACTCAACGGAAGAGTTTCCTTAAAAAGTTGTATCGTGCTCCTTTGGATTGGCTGGAGGAAGTTACTACTGGTATGTTTCTGGAATTTATGTGCATTTATGTGGGGAGTTGGGGGGGGGGAGGAGGAGGGGGCAGTCTAGCTACTCCCTAGGGAATACTCCCTATAAAATAAAAATGGCGGGTAATCGTTGCTGTGGTACTTTTTGGGAACTTGCAAAGGATATGGAGCCAAAAAAAGATTGGAATTATTTTGATGTTACTCAATAGTTTGACTTTTGGTACAAGCACAATCAGCTTTGTAAAAGGGAGATCCCCACCAACCTCAGGATAGTTCCTTATGTGTATCATGTTCAGCACAGGTCTCCATGTTGTTGGATTGTGGAACCCAGTCAGGGGGACATGCCATCGTGTTTGTATTATTCGGCCGTCTGTAGAGCAGGGTTCCACTGTAGTTATCTTGCTCCTGATATTGCGAAATTTGCATGTTCAAGGGTTAAGTGCCCCTTTTTCCTGTTTTTTGGTAATAACTATGATCCAAGTTTTACTGCTCTTTTTTTAACTCTTCTTATTTAATTGTTTTGTTTTCTTAAGGTATGGCAGATGTTGTTCTTGTTAACAGCAATTTCACAGCAGATACATTTGTATCAACATTTACAAGTCTACGTAGCAATCGACCTCGTGTCTTGTACCCTTCATTAAATTTTTCATCATTTGATGACTCAGTTTTGCCTGATGAGAGTGACGACCTTGTACCGCCTAAAGCAAAGATTGTGTTTTTGTCAATAAACCGTTATGAGAGAAAAAAGAACTTAAAGTTGGCGTTAGAGGCACTGGACTGGCTTAAGCATGTTGTTACTGATCAAGAATGGAAGGATGTTCATTTAATTATGGCAGGTGTGGTCTCTATTCTTTGATGTACAGCACAGAACTGTGCACTGTTCTTTTAAAAATTAGGCACACTTTAATTAGTTGAAAGAGAAGTAATTATTCTACCTCATTGTACAATTTATCAAGTGTTTCAAAGCAGGTATTACTCTAAGGAAAATAATTCCATGTTGATGAAACAGGGAAAAAATGGCTTTACTTTGTTTATTCTAACATTTCGTATGTTTATTTCAGGTGGCTATGATGACAGGGTTGTAGAAAACAAAGAACATTATCTTGAACTTCGCAAACTTGCCGACCAATACCATCTTACCACCAAAGTGACATTTGTGAGGTCATTTAGTGATGTACAAAAGCTAACCCTTCTGAATCGCTGCACATGTTTACTTTACACTCCAAGTCATGAACACTTTGGTATTGTTCCTATTGAAGCCATGTACATGAAGCGACCTGTCATTGCTGTCAATAGTGGAGGTCCTTTGGAGACTGTTCAAGATGGTGTGACAGGGTTTTTGTGCAATCCCGATGCAGAGTCCTTCGCTCTTGCCATGCAAAAGTTTGTGAAGGATCCATCCCTTTCTTTAGTGCTGGGTGAGGCTGGAAAGGAAAATGTCATCAAGAAGTTCTCTTTTGATGTCTTTGCACAACATCTTCATAACATTGTATGTTGTTTGTTCCTGTTGGAGTTTGATGCCTATCCTCTTGACTAGGTTATATTTTTTGCTTCTCCACATTTAACATCAGTTATATACAGTCTTGTATTGTAGTTGTAACTTTGAGGTGCAAATGAACATTTATAGTTACCATTTAAATAAAATGTCTTTTGCAGTACTTTCTCTCAGAACTATTAAATTTTTGATTTTCAGAATTTTATGAAATGAGAAGGTGGAATTTTTCTTTAAAGCTTTTTGTGGAAAGCCCAAGTCTACAAAATTAATCTGTTGATCATTCTTCTCATTTGACCACAAAGTTACAGTCAGAATCTAAAGCACCCGCCCAGAAGACAGGCTCATATATACATTCAGATTGTTTTAGAACTATTTCTTGTAGAACCTCTCCTTACAGACATCTCTATTACAAACGGACAGTGTACTTACTCACAAAAACACTAAACTTCATTTTTCTTCCTGCAATGTACCTCTATGATAAAGACAGTTCTCTTCTGTAATGCAGACCTTGGCTGTTTCCTTAAGTGTCTATTAGTAGGGGGGTTTGACTTAGTTAACTGAGTATCACACATTTCGAAGGCTCAAAGCCCAGGGTGAGGTCCAAGAATATTTAGGTACGCTGAGTATTTGAAATATTTCATGTTACATGGTATACTGAAAGCTTTTTTCTCTGTCACTGTTGTCGTTATTTTTTAACAGGTCACAGATGGAGAACAGGCTGGAAGAGCATGGTCAGTAGCTGTAACATGTTTTCTAATGGCCATTGTATTCTCAGTGGCCTGCGCGTGGGTGCTTTATTTCTATCATTGACTGACAAGTGTCTTCTAAAGGACACTAGAAGCATTTTGCCTAGTACAGCTGTATCATAAATCAAATAAATTATTATTAGAGTTAGGTCCCAAGGCTGTATACTATTGGAATGCACTGGTTTGACATCTAGGAATGGATACAAGTAGAGTTAGAGCAGAATTATCATTAATTTTGATTAGCAGTGGGGAAAGGCATTAATTTCATGATTTACATTGAAAGATAAAAGTCAGTTAAATTACCTTTACAAATGCTCTTAGAAATGACTTTTGGGTAAAGTAACTTTATTTACAACATAATCTGTACAATGTATTGTCTATAGTTGACATATTTCCTTGAAAGTATATTACCAGTAAAATATGAATTCAATGTAATAACATTCATTCTAAAATGGGATAGAAAAGAATAATTACTAAAAATGCTAAATCTGTTGAAATTAAAACAGTATCATTTCAACTGTTTCAAAACAGTGAAGGATTTTCTTTTACTCTGAGTCTTTTATTTGGTAACTTAAACCACATTTCAGTGAGTTATGGATTTAAAGGATTATTACTGACTGGTATTATTTTGGGTCCTTAGCAGGATTCTTTCTATGAAGGGCAAATGTTCTCTTTATCTTCATTCTGAAAATTGCATTGCATCAATTTTGTATCTCTCTGTAACCTTGCATAATAACGTAGGACATCAGGGTGAGCTCGTACACACTTGCTGTCAAAGTCCAGAACTCTGAGTCCTTGCAAGCTTCTTGCTCGTGAAAGGGCAACATATGCTTGTCCATACTCGAATACTCTTGACAATGAGATTTCAACACAGTCCAATGTCATACCCTAAAACAGAGCAGTAAAAAAAGTCATCAAGCTAATCTAATTAGCAGCCACAATTCACTTGGACTGAGAAAACAGCCAACATTTGGCAAAGCTACCACTAGTTCTCCTGTGAAATGATGTAAGAGGAACAAGCGCAGAAGTTCCATACTGATGACATGTTGTTACCCAGATTGGGCAGTGCTTTTGATTGGTTGAAGCGTCAGTGTGAGTAATCAGAAGCATTACCCAGATCTGGGTAGTGACATTTCACCAGTATGAAATTTCTATAACTCTTGTTCTTCAGATGTTATTTTGCGGGGAAACAAGCGGTGACATTGTGAAATTTTGGCATATTTTCTCAGGCTTCAAAACTACTAACAGACTTAACAAACTTGATTTAGGGTTTTACCCCAAAATTCACTGATTTGTTTAGGACAAATGCGACATTTTCTCCACCTTACCTGGCTTTTATGTATGGACACTGCCCAGGCTAGTTTGAGTGGCAGCTGTCGTCTAGTGACTGTCCCCCCTCCAGCTGTTTTCACTACCCATTTCTCAGGTCCAATGACCTGCTCTGAACCAGACATGAACTTCACCACTGGGTATCCTAAAATGACATACAACACAACTTCAATAACAGACAAGTTGATTATAGAGCAGACTGAAAAATACCACCATGAAGAAGTTTTTTATTTTTCATACACCACATCCGTCACTTTTGTCCTCCCTGGCAGATAGTTTTATTCACTCTTTTGATAACAGAAAATCCCCTCACAACTGTCATTTCCCTCTGTTCTGAAGGTGACACAGAAGGTTGTGGAGAAAGGTTTTATTATTGCTTATTTCTATCCTCTACTCTTAACAGTGGCCAAAGGAAAAATTTACCAAAAAATTCAAATTTCTTTTTCTAAAAACCGTAGAAATAAATAGCTCTACAGTCAACTCTCTCTAAGATGGACACCTTTAGGACCGGCTCTAAGTGTCCGTCTTAGAGAGGTGTCCGTCTTATAGAGAGTCAAATGAAAGGAGTAAAGAAAGGCAGGGACCAACTCTGAGTGTCTGTTTTACAGAGGTGTCCGTTAAGAGAGAGTCAACTGTATGTGAAAGTTCTGCTGTTTTATCTGATAATAGTACGATAGCATGATATTAACTTTTGTCAATGCAGGATACTTAACAGTTTGAATGAAAAGCATTTCACCATACTTGGAATAAAAAGATTAATGGGCTTACATCAGTTTATTATTATGATTATTTTCCTTACTCTTTTTACTTGGATATAATTATCTATCATGGATGCATGTTTAGTCGTTAGGAATTGCATCGTAAGCAAAATAGCATACCAGCAGATCCTGAATCAAAGCGTTTGATTATCCCACGGGCACCATTAACAAGTCCTTTGGATACATTCAAGTTTTTGGCCAACATGACCTAATTTTATAGAGAGAGTTAAAACTGTGTTAATTTACTTTAATTATTATAAATTGTGATTTGGTTTTTAATTGGAAGCTCCATTCTTTTTAGAGCATGCAATCAACAAATTGTGGTCAAAGAGTGTAAAGCTAAATTTGCTTAAAGCCTACATCTCTGAATTCAAATTTCGCACTAACCCGGGGCTATCTTACCCCAGCCTATAACCAAGTTCTAATTCTTAGAGGAAATTATGCATATAATAATAATGTTCTGTATAATTTTACATAAGATTTTTGTTCCATCCCCAGCAGAATGTTGCTGGACATACACATCAATACACATTGTTGTATGATCTTACCTGTGCACCCTCTTTCAACTCCAGTGTCTGTCCAACAGGGACTTGACTGTCCAGCATGGTGCACATTGAGCTGTCACTGTCCATGGCTTGAAACACTCTCTTCTCACCAGGTAATCTTGACAAGTGGATCTCATTAATCTGATTGACATTCTCCTTGTGAGTGCAAAGCTTTGTAGCTAATATTCCTTCCTGTTCTATCACTTGGTTCTTTGTGTTGTTTAACTTTTGGACAAGTGCATCAGGGCAACTGAAGAATAAATCATAACTATAATGTTATTAAACGTCAGAGGCCAAGACAGCACAAGACTAAAAAAAAAACTGCAGCCCTCAATAATATGACCATTAATATCACTATTTTGTCAGAACGAGACAATTACCTTCCAACCCGGACGTTCTGTAGAATGGAGATAAACAGAGGATCTTTCTGTCTGTAAACCTTCTTTAGCTCAATGGTTGTATGAACACAGTCATTCCAGCAGTCTGCCTTTTAGGTGAAAAAAATATCTTTTTTCAAAGTCATGAAGAACACAATCCGCAGGTACACAATATAGTAATGTATTATTAGATTACTAAAACAAAAAGAAGTAGCTAACTGTACACAAGTTACTAAATATAAAGACTTGTGGAAGAGTTCAGCATAAGATAATGAAAAAAAAAAGCAGACTTCCACCTTCTACAAGCATGTGGCCAATGCTTTTGCTCACCGCCAGTGATTCAAATGCCAGTGCTTCAATTCCAAGCACAGTTATGCATGTAGGACTGTTCTCCTCCTTTTTCTTACCTGGAAACAAAACTTTTTCTTTTCTGCTTGTTTTACCACAGGGGGTAGCTGCAAAAAATCCCCAGACAAAATCAACTGAATTCCACCAAAAGGAATCTCCTTTTTCCTGACAGCTCGGGCTACAGCCTCAAGCTTGTCAAAGAAGTTAGAATCTACCATAGAGATTTCATCAATGATCAAGTGTTTACAGCGTCTCCATTGCTGGGCCCGCCCTGGGCGTAGTGCCAGTTCTATACATTGTGTAAGAGGTGCACTGCCACTTCCAATACCTGAGCAGGATAAGAAAATATAGTTATTTTACCCAGAAATAACGATTTAGAAATCCACATTAATGCAGATATTTTTGGAACCACATATGATATAGTTTTTTTTCTACATTAATCGACCTTTCATCGACACAAAATCAGTGAATCCACTCACCAAAACCACATCTTTTAAAACTGCTCTCCAGAATGGTTTCAAACATCCTATCCATACCAATGTGGGTAATAAAACATAGGCATCTTCAAAATTACCGGATTTGTGAGGACAGGGTCTTAGAGAGTTCATTGTATCCTAAAGTAATTTGAATAATACAGTCGACTCTCTAAACGGACACCTCTATGATGGACACCTCTGTAAAATGGACACCCAGAGTTGGTCCATGACTTTCTTTACTCCCTTTATTTGACTCTCTATGAAACGGACATCTCTCGAAGATGGACACTAAGTGATGCTCGCAAAGGTGTCCATCTTAGAGAGAGTTGACTGTAAATTGAATCCAGATTAATACAGGTCTATTGATATAAAGCATTTCCAGACATGGAAGTTGACCGACACAGTGGCACAAGCCTTAATTTTTTTAATCTGATTAGACAAGTGTTTTCAACATGCACAATTCTTACAGATTGCACGTGCAGTATTACAAACGTGAGGTTTAATAGCGAGGAGAATGTAAACATACCTGCAAAAGCGTGCAATGTTGTTCCACCGATGTGACATGCCGCAGCTCCAGTACTTGCTGTTACAAACGTACTTTGTGGTGGTAGCATAGTTATCAAACGCTTTAAGAGGTAAGATTTCCCGGTTCCTGCGCTTCCAGTAAAAAACACGCTCCTTCCTGATTTGACAGCATTAAGTACTGCCATTTGTTCTGCTGTAAAGTTCGTTTGAAAGGAACTCAGACAATTGAGGCGTCTCCTCGGAGCTCCATTGTTAATACCATCTACATCACCCGCCAAGTATTCTTTCCCTGTCTTGATTCGTTTCGGAGTTCTTCCATTATTTTCGTCCAGAGGTCGTTTCTTGCAGCCCGTGGGACTAGTAAAATCCTTGTCTGTTAAAGGGCTTACGTTTTCAAATGAACGAGGTTTTTCGCTGAGGAGCCTTCGCCTGTTGCTAGCTAGTCCAGTTTGCTTGCTTTGAGCAAGTTTTAAAGATAAGCACTTTAGAAAAGCCCCCAGCTGATTTGGAGGGCAGTTGGAGATCATTAATTGTAGTTTTTGCTTTAAAAGCTTGATCGTTGCCTTCCCTTCCTGTAAAAAGCGTTTGTGAATGCTTATTTCTTTCAAGAGGAAGGTTTTACCAAGCGGTGATTTGGTGCTTACAATTCGCAGCGCGATGTCGCGAAATTCATCCCTGCCAATTACGACTGTTATGTTTTTGTACGTTCGTCGTTTTGTGACTATTCCATTTGCATTTAGGCTTTCTACTGTCAAACAGCATTCTAGTTCACTAGCTTCCATAATTAATGTAAACGCCGGCTGCCAATATGGATCGACTGATGATCGAACATCAAAAGAACTTTAAATTTTGTCTCTTGAATTAGCTGTCCAATCACAGCATCCCGTCCCACAGTCGTTCCCAGGACCACCGCAAAGAGAGTGTCCATCACTATCCATCACTATCCATCACTACATATCACTGTCCATCACCACCCATCACTATCCATCACTATACATCACTGTCCATCACTACACATCACTATCCATCACTACCCATCACTACCCATCACTACACATCACTACACATCACTACCCATCACTATCCATCACTACACATCACTATCCATCACTGAACATCACTATCCATCACTACAGATCACCGTCCATCACTACCCATCACTACACATCACTATCCATCACTATCCATCACTATCCATCACTATCCATCACTCCACATCACTGTCCATCACTATCCATCACTACATCACTGTCCATCACTACCCATCACTATCCATCACAAAACATCACTGTCCATCAATACACATCATTATCCAGCACTACACATCATTATCCATCACTATCCATCACTGTCCATCACTACACATCATCACTACACATCACTATCCATCATCACACATCACTGTCCTTCACTACCAATCACTATCCATCACTACACGTCACTTTCCATCACTATCCATCACTATACATCACTGTCCATCACTATACATCACTGTCCATTACTATCCATGATTATTCATCACTAATCATCACTATTCATCACTATTCATCACTAATCATCACTATTCATCACTATTCATCACTAATCATCACTAATCATCACTATCCAATCACTACACATCACTATCCATCACTACACATCACTATCCATCACTACACATCACTGTCCATCACCACCCATCACTAGACATCACTATCCATCACTATCCATCACTACACATCACTATCCATCACTATACATCACTTGTCCATTACTACAAGTCATTATCCATCACTACATCACTATCCATCATTATACATCACCATCCATTACTACAACATCATTATCCATCACTACATCACTGTCCATCACTCACATTACTATCCATCACTACACATCACTACACATCACTATCCATCACTATCCATCACTACTCATCACTGTCCATCACTTCCCATCACTACACATCACTACACATCACTGTCCATCACTACCCATCACTATCCATCACTACCCATCACTGTCCATCACTACACATCACTACCCATCACTATCCATCACTACACATCACTACACATCACTACCTATCACTATCCATCACTACACATCACTGTCCATCACTACCCATCACTATCCCTCACTACACATCACTACACATCGTCCATATCTACTCATCACTATCCATCACTACACATCACTGTCCATCACTACCCATCACTATCCACCATTACACATCACTACACATCACTACACATCACTATCCATCATCCATCCATCATCCATCACTACCCTGCACTGTCCGTCACTACACATCACTACATCACTACCCATCACTATCCATCACTACACATCACTGTCCATCAATACCCATCACTATGAAATCACTACACATCACTGTCCATCACTATCCATCACTATCCATCAGTATACATCACTGTCCATCACTACACATCACTGTCTATCACTATCCATATCTATCCACCACTACACATCACTAAACATCACTGTCCATCACTGCCACATCACTATTCTTTTCATTGCTTGAGGAAGGCTAAAAATTGGTAGATGACCGTTCCTTTCAGGTACATTGAAAACTAGTTTATTGTTTAAATAAATCACTAGAGCAGCGGGTTAAGAACATGCTTTGATGCCGCACAAACTCTTATGAGGAGTAAACTAATCAACCGAGAACCTACCCAAACCTGTTATAGTTTTTCTTCGTCTTGCCAGTTTCTGAAGTACAAGTTGAAGGCGCTGCTATAAAGGAAAGCCATGTGAATGCAAACGATTAACGGTTTTGATTGCTCAAAGGCATTTACGCTTTCTTTGATTGGTTATCCTTTCACCTGTGATAAAAAGCTGTACGCCATTGTTATTGACTGTATAAGATCTTCTCTGCCTAATTTCACGTTATGGAGGACGTTGATAAGCTACGACGAAATTTCTTTCTCTTTCTACACTTGAGTGCGGTCCCCAAGAAATCAACTCTAGGGAAATTAACCTACAGTAGACATTTTCAGCGAGTTGCAATAACAGCGACAAAGTCTGAAAAAGTGCTAATTCATTTTAAAAGTGACCTTTTCGTTGCCGTCGCCATCTTCACGGTGTAGTCTTGCAAGGACGGTAAAGGAATGTATATAAATGAGTGACGTACGTGCAAAGTTGATGTCTTGCTTAATAAAATTAAACCCGTATTGCTTCCTCGTTGCTGTCGCCGTCGTCGTTGCTGGGAGCTTTAGCAACGATGACGGCGACGGCAACCAGGACGTCAAAAATAGCAATAGGTTTATTACGCAAAACAACAACTTTGCACGTGCATCACGCTTTTTGTACATTTCTTTACCGGTCTTGCAATGACGACGACGAAAAATGCCTAATGCAAGTTTTATGGAGGACGTAACAAGCGACGACGAATCTCTTTTTCTCTCTCTACACTTAGTGCGGTCCTCAAGAAATCAACTCCAGGGAAATTCGCCTACACTTGCCATTTTCAGCAAATTAGAATAAACGCGACAAAGATTGAAAAAACGGGAATTCATTTTAAAACTGACGTTTTCGCTGCCGTTGCCGTCGTCGATGCTAAAGCTTCCTGTGCGGCGCGAACCGAACCTGGCATACCCCTAATAACCCAATATTACAATGAAAAGTAATCAATAAAACTTCTTATTTCAAAGTATGAGGCACATAAGTACATGATTTTTGTTGTTCCTATTTTTGTTTATTTTTTTCCCTCATGTAGAGGACTAAATCCTTCAACCATAGGGAAAGCCAAAACGGTATCATCTGTCAAGTTATGTAATGCAGTTACAGCATGTTGAAACTGCCAGCGACCTCAGTCCTGTAATATTATTACAGCTTAAAACTATAGTCGTCATTTTTTAAGCAAAAAGAGCATGTTTATTTGGAAGCACTTTTTAACATTTTTCTTCTTTTTTCGTAAACACTTTTGTCTTTATTGTTTAGTGACTAGTTACAGAAACATTGCTTAATATTAAAGCAAAAATATAAAAGGGCACTTTAAAGGAAAAGTGGCATGGTCACTCTGGATAACAGGAGTGAGTGAGATTCCCTGGGACTGCCCATAATGCACCTTATTTGCACCCCCCCCTTTTTCAAAAAAAAAAAATTGCAGAAGCATTGTTTTCGGGGTGGGGGGCAAATAAGGTGCATTGTGGGACATGTGGAAGTGGCGTACTCGTATCCACCAATAGAAAAATACAAAAAACAAAAAAAACTAACACTAAAACAGTGAAACCCAAAATCGCTTTGCAATAACGATAATAAGTGGGTCTTTTTACCTTAGTCTCGCTCGAGTTAAAGGGTTGAATGAGAGGCCCTGGGAACAAAATCTTAGGTGACTGGTGATTGGAAAGGGGATTGGCTCTCAGGGCGCATGCACGTTTTTCTGCGACGCACGTCAACTGTAGGTGAGAACTATCCCCTATTAATATGACTTGACGCTACCAAATGTTTATTGCTAGATTTCGTTAATTCTTATAGAGACAATTTGCTCGGAAGTGGGGGCAAATCCACTGCCAAAGAATGCAAAAAGTACACTTCCGGTTGACCTGCGTCGCTCAAAAACGTCGTTGCTTAAGTCCCCTATTTTTCTCTCTTGACAAAATCTAATAAATCAAACATGATACAAAATTTCAAAATATTTTATTCCGAGCGGAAAAAAAGTCCGTTTAGCAAGCTTTCTACACTACCTACATCAGGTACTAACTTGTAAGCTGTGGGTTTTGGTCTCTTGGACCAAGTGAACAGAACCAAACAAATCTCACATAAATAGGACGCATACCGCCTTTGTATTCAGGCTTACTTGCTGTTAGGCAGTTACTGTAAGATTATACAATAAATGCTCTAGTCCGTGAATTAATATTATTCAACTAGAAATATTGAGCAGTAATTTCATGAAAAGCTGCTCTCCTACTTTTTGTAGCATGACAAATCAGCCATTTGTTTCTTTTCTACAGTACTTTCTAGGCTACGAGTAGCTCCATAAATTATTGGTGATCAGGGTATGAAAAGAGTTTGAGGAAAATCGCAGCATAAGCAATCTCAAGTAATTTATATTATCTAAAGGCAATATTCGAGGTTCAATTCATTCAAAGACAACATTTCGTCTCTAAACGATTCTAAACGTCTCCTAAGATTATATGTAGACTACTGACAATGCGTTTTGAAGATCAGTGCTGGGTAAATGAGCAGCCAACATGCCAATTCTCTAAAACGATAGAAATTTTGTATGATAATCAAACATTTACGGCTGAAAGACACTGGTGACCCTACCCTGAATGAGCTGGTTCTTTATTTATTTTCCCAGATTCAGGCGGGCTGTTGTGACTATGGCCGCCGTTCTTGCTGAAAAGATTGTGTCACAACTGTCAATCTCGTTCCCAGAGGCCGCGATCCTTTTGTACAACGACGGGGATCACTATTATTGCCCCATCCGCTGTATAAAAGTAGCGGGGGCTCTGGGGACGAGATTGCACAGCTATCTACTGCCCAACACCCGATCGCCGATCCTGATATAATACAAAAATAGTCAATCTCAAGGTTCGGAAAACGAATTTCTAACAAATTCACTTTAGGTGCTCTAAAAATATATACTATCTACAATTATCAAGCATTTTAAACATGCTTCTTACAAGGCGAAAATTACAGTATTCGCAATCTACGAGAATCGTTTGTCCTTTATACAAATATTGCCTACAATTGCTATACGCATGTTTGTTTCTTTTGAAACAAAGTATCCTGTATCCTTGATGTGTACAAGTCCTTAATTTCCTCGGCGATGAAAAGGAACAATTGACTCCTGTTCCAAATTGACTTTTTCATCTTCAATATTTCGGTGACGTCAGATGTCTGGGGCTGAACTGTAAAATCTCCATAACTGTAGTTTCCCCATAATTAAACGTCTTCATCAGGGAGTGCAAAAATAGATCACACAAATAATATACCGATTTCATCTTCTGCACAAGGTACGTCTTTCCTGAAACCTATACCATCGTAGAGTTAGCTCTTCATACAGAGCATCCTAAGAACGTTCGATTCTTTTTATCTAATAAAAAAACAGCACGCTCTCGCCACCTTCGGTTTGAAAGTGGAATTATAAATACATCGCCGTGACGTCATATCACTCAGCAACCAGTTGCTTGTGAAGTTTGAGTTCAGTTCGTAGAAATGAACTTGAATTGAACTTGAACATTCCATACATTAATAGTAAAGTGGAAGTTGCTTGAACTTTTTTTCTATCACCTAAAGTTTGCGTAATCGCTGTAAGAATCCACAAACAGGCGAGTTATTTCGTAACAGAACTTGTACTGTACCTGTTGAAAAAAACAAGGGATGAGAAAAAAAATCTTCTTGCCACTTCACAACACTTACTTGACAGAAGAGGCTGAGCATATGATGCTTAGCGTAAAAAAAGATATGAGTCAAACGTTGGACTTTTCAATGAATGGTTTAAGGTAATCTGTTTCAAGGTGCGGCGTGAAACACACTGGAAGCAACTAATAAACTGAACAAGAAAACGCAAATTCTCCTCACCGCTGTTTGGACCATAAGGGGTCTTTGAGTACGCAGGCGCCGTACATTCTGAAACATATCTATTGTTCCATCTAACTTGACTCGCTCCAGGGCGATGTTCACTGCACAAAACGTCCCTGTACGGCCGCTTCCATCACTAGGAGAATTCAAAGAAAGATAGACATTAAAAGCCGAGACCCACTAAAGTATGTCGGTGTTACTCAGGTCAAAGGACTGGATGACGTTTTGGTACAGACGTAAGACTTATGTGGTTTCGCTCGTCAGTGTAAAAGTGAAAAGTAAAACGGGTAGCTTCATACCAGTAAGACATTGTCACAAGGCAGCTTTATCTTTCATGAATACGCGAAAAAGACTTTCTTTGCCTAAAAACATCGTTTCAATAGATAGTCCACATATATAACATCAAGTCTGTTTTTTCCCCAAAATTATGAAAATTGCGTACAAAATTTCGCGCCCGTTTTGCAAGCTCGCTTTAGAGCAAACGATAACGTCACACCTGCAATGGACGACTATTGGTCCGTTGCCTGTCTGTTGTTGCACGCGCGTGATGCATTTCATCATATCCAGAAGGCCAACTCCGTTGAGGGGAACGGAACGCTCCGCCCAGTCAGTGAAGTGGAAATGGTAAATACTGCGAATTTCACCACTCTGTTAAATAAAAAGATTTGTTATTTAAATAAAATGTTGTACTTCCGGCTGTAAGAACTGAGTTTAGAAGAAAGGCCATGGCGAACCAAGGAGCAAACTCTTAGAATGAGCTCTCGAATGCTGCAAAGCGGTGCAAATGGTTTCCTCTGTTCAAAGGGACGCTAACGACAACCGGATTTGTTATTTTCTTGTATATAACAGCATGTATGATTTCATTTTGCTACTAACTACACTGACATTTTATTTAGTATTCTTATACATGTAATTTAAGTATTTATGAGGACTCCTGTTTATATGATGTCTGCTGAACAAGGGACAAATCTTACATAAAGGCTGGTGAATACGTCACAAAAACTACTCAAATTTTTTACAGATCTAAAGCAAAGCTAATACTCGAAACGCCAGCTAAGTCGACAACAACAAAATGTTCGAGAACAATATACCTACGAACCTACGATTGGCCTACCTTTGTGTTAGTTATCTTGAGGTTTCGCCTACAGAAACCGTTTCTCTGGTCTACGGACTCGACTTCAATCATCAGCAAACCAAAAACAATGAATTCTTCTTTGTGGGGCAAATAATACGCACATTGCCCCTGTAAGGAAACAAAATTTTTCACAATTACTTTCTATTCCCCTAAGAACGTGACGCTTTCAAATGTTCATCCAGACTTCATGTTCACCACCAGAATTAGCTATCCTTATTTTGGGGGGGGCGTGAGTGGAGGAAGGGAGGGCGGGGCGTTCTTAAACAACAAAACCAAGTATCACTGCTTCAGGTTTAGCGTCAACAGACGTGTTCTTTTCTTCTAAGGGAAGGAAAAGAGAGAGGCGAGGAATTTATCAGTAAACCGGGTTCTTAAGATTCGCACAATTGATAACATCGAACAATCCTAAATTGAATGTGACGTACCAGATGCAATCATCGTCAAAAGTGTTGGGCAGGCTCTTACTTTTTACCTCTTTTTACTTTTTTTCCCGCCCCATGTCCCAATGTTAAATAAAATTAAACTTTTTGTGCGCGCACTTGTTTTGTTATCCCAACATTGGGGGGGTATTTAGCAAAAGGGGAAACTAGCCATTTTGAACATTAAAATCAACTGCTAACCTTCCGAACTAATTTTGCAGTCTAGATCTTTGTTTCAAAGACTTTTAATTCAAACGTAGACACAAAAATCTAATACTGCAATATTAATGTTCACCACCCTAACTAGTCACGTTATTAGTTTTCACACCTGTTCAATTTCATTCATGGTGCACAGCATCACCACGGAGTAGGCCTCATACTCCCAAATCATCCTCCAGAAATCCACGACCGTGTTATCTAGCGGGGCCTGGGTAGCGATGAATGCTTCGCGCTGCTGAAAGCTCTGCAATGAGTAAAGCAAAAACTATACTTTTCCTCGGCAAATTGTAGTAGCGATAGGCACCTAGACTAACCTGCGATCAGGCGGTTTTTTTTCGTCTCCAAAACAAAAGGGAAGAAGGACCGCCTGATCGCAGGTTACACTTAAACAAACCACAACGACAGAACCAAGTAAACATCTTAAAGTGATGAGATTTGAAGGTAAGTTGTGAATTTCTCAGTTGTTAGGTCTCAACATTGTTAGCAAGTCAAACTATTTTCAGTTGCTCTTAGAAATGAGTGTTTTGTTGAAAGAGCAGCAGGCACCAACCAGATTATCATGGAGAGCCTTGGGTGCTGTATCAACAAATGAGTAACAGTGGGAGAAGAGATTGCCATGGATAGAAAGTTTGAGTTTATTCAAGTATTATAGAGGAAACTAACTGAAAGTAGCGAAACAATCAGAGTGGGTAAATATAATGGCGGCAATATTAAATATGGCTGCTTACGTCAACAAAGCTAGCGTTGATGTAATCAGATCCAACCAATCCTGTGTAAGGCCACAAAGTCACTCTTGATCTGTCAACTAAACAGACAAAAAAATAACAATAATTTGTTGCTTAACAATCGGTAAGCGACGGAATAAAAAAACCATATTAATTTTTCTGTGGAATCGTCAGTGTTCAAACATGGCCATCCGTGTGAGATAAGCGCTGAACAGCACTGAAAGGAACAGAAACTGACACTTCCACAGCACGTGCTGCAGTTTGTAATTTACAGTCCTGTTGAAGACTACACTCAGATATAAAATCGACCATCACTGAAAACTGAATAGGATACTGCTCCGCTAAATAAACGATTAAAATGACCAACGCCCTTTACTACTGAGACTTTGAAATAACAGGTCTTTGGCTCCGACAACCGAAGTAGTATCAGAACCTTACGATGAAAAGACGAAATTACTTCAAAGGTCTCTCCGATGTCATTGGTGCGTTTTACACCGCACATACATGCCAACGGTTAGTCCGTTACCCAGTCGTTCTTTTGAGGATCAGTTTTCATCCTCGATCGTAGCTTGCAGACGCGGGGGCACGAGGCAGACAAGAAGCGTGAGACATGCGCGACAGGGGAGGCCGAAAAACGCGAAAAATTAGCGCCTTTTCTGCAGGATACCTTGCTCCGGCGCTGGAGATAGAGCAGGTTCTAATGAGGGTCATGTCTTCCTAGTGCCTTCTAACCTACTGGCTAGAAACAGTGACTTGGAGACAAACAATAAGAGACAGACAGACGCAAGAATCAAACACTTACATGGCAGGATTGCGTATCTGTTTTTCGATTTGTTTTCCGGCTGTGATGCGCTGATAAAAGAGTCGTAATCAGAGTCGCCCAGACAAAGATTCTATGAAGCAAGATTGACACACCATTGTTAGATGTAGGAAACTTTTAAGTAAATTCAGTCATTTCTAAAAACAACTTAACACTGTCATAAGCAAACCAAAGAGTATGGTCTTCTACCCGCAGAATGGGATTCCTGTGCGACAACTAACTTTAAGTATGGTCTGATGTATCGAGAAGTAACGCTGATAAAATACATGAATATAAGACTAACAATCAGGAAACGCTTTTCCCTTTTACCACTTTATTCTCGAGTAAAAGCGTATGAAAAGTCCAGCCACAAACCCATAACCTTTGCAAGTAACCGCGTACATTCAAACCGTGAATGTTCACCTCGCAAGCATGCCACCGCGTTCACACTGCTTCACGTACCTTAAACTCGGTGACCAGAAGTGAGTCTCCACTGTCGGGATCAACAGTATTTAACACGCGTAACTTCTCTGGTAGTTCACGAACGGCAAATTCGGTGTTACCGCATGTCACGAACTCCATCAGAGCGTCATGGATAAATATGTACTGTGCCTGTTTAAAAAAATGTCACGCTTGGTCACGCTAACATGTCACGATAACTGTCACCAAAAAAAAGAAAGTCCCACATTACCTCTGTTTGCACCATAGCACTTCTCTGTTGACGGATGTGAGCGACAAATCCATAAATGTCTACCACCCCCTCTGCATCTATTTGGTCCATCATGGCGTCCAAGACAATGAACGTGCCGGTGCGGCCCACGCCAGCACTGGTGAAAAAGGAGAAACATTTACTGTTAAAATACAGCTTCAAAAAAATAGTACTACGGAAAGTAAGGAGACAATTATCTAGAAAAAAAAAAAATCTATGTAGAAAATAACAAACAGCCGTTGGGAAGTTGATCTTCTAACCTCTATGGCAGTAGGTCCAGTCCAATCATTTGAAACCTTTGAGGCAACAATTAGTTTGTTTAACCCTTTTGGTTTGAAAGCTAATGAGTTCATCGCGCACCATCAAAAAGAATCGAAAAGATATGTTATGTAAGATTACCTGCAATGGATCAAAATGGGGCCTGAATCCTCTGGTATGGAAGAGCGGACCTTCCTTAGAAAAGCTAGCAGGGAGGTAGCGTGTGTAGGAACCCCCTGATCCGGCCAAGCTGTGAAGTGATACTGAGTTACTTCACGAGCGCGATACTCCGCCGTGTCTGATGTCTAAAGAAAGAGGAAATGAGCTGCTTAGAGAAGGTGATACGTTTGGTAGTCATGCAACACAAATCACCCAACGCAAAAAACACAACGTCAATCAACTTGCACCACACACACAATCTTATAATATGGTAATCACGTAAGATAAGTTATACAACAGTTCATCATGGGACGTGTGACGTGAAATGAATCACTGACCAAATAAACATCCGGGGAAGTTTATAAAAGAGAAGCTGTTTCAAAATGACGTGTGAAAAATCACCTAAATCATAACGAAAGTGTTTTGAAAAAAATCCTCTAAAAAAATATTGGTTTTGTTCGTTTGACAACAAATGTATCAACAAGTAACAAGTAACTAAATAACTGAATACGTTTAAATCTCTTACCATCTGCACAGAGAACTTTCTGACAACGTAATCTGCCAATTCTTCCACGCCACCGGGTGATACCAACACTGGGCCGTACATTTCTGGGGAGGAACTCGGCCAGTACTTCAAACATTTAATCTACACAAGCAAAGAAGCCTTAATCATGCATTTTAATTCTCGTGACGTCCTAGTAGTACTAGATATAAAAGAATTACCATATAGCCAAAATAGTTTCTCTTATTTCATTCCTTACTTCCACCTATCTTCAATGTTTAAAAAAGTAGTCATTAATAAACACTGAAACGCGTTCCCCGCATTGAAGTGATATTGGTCAATAAAGGGCCAACATACCCGTCCTCCTTCGACGATGTTTGTAACCATGACAACGACACAAACACCTTGATCCCAGACCGTGCGCCAAAAGTCTCCAAATGTGTTTTCCACAGGACCTGAAACAAAAATCAGAACAAAATGAAGTCATTACACTTTACAACTCTAGAGGTGAAAAAAAGATAGTCGTACTTTCCCGTTTATCTCTGGAAAAAATTAATAAAGGGAAAATAAAGTTAAATAATAAAAACACAACTTCTTTACCTTGCGTGGCAATGAACTTGCAATGGTGATTGTAGCCCTGTCAAAAATATCAAACTACATTCAAAATAAGGCTTCACCTCCTATTATTAAAATTAAGGCAGCGGTATTACCACAGCGTACAAAAATAATCATTGATTATGCACGTCTTATTTATGACGGCGCACTTACATCAATAAAGTTTGCGTTGATATAATCACTCCCTGGGCAGCCATCTAATTCAGCTAAAGTCACCCGGGTATGGTCATCTGTAGAGACGTGAAATCAACAGACAGTCTTAAAAATGACGCCGTTACGTCGGGTTAAAAAAAACGCTGGCAAAATAAATACACATGCAATTCTAAAAGAACAACCAAGATCTTTTATCGTACAAATGAAACAACTTTACTTACATGGAATGATATTCTTGTATCTGTTTTTGGGTTTGTTCTCTGGTTTCTGACTGTTTTCCCATGTAAAATGTCCAGGAACCCTGATGGACTAAAATGTGAAAAGACAAGTGACCCCATGAGACAACGGAAGTAAGCATTTTTAAAGCTACATCAGAGTCGGACTGTTTTGAAAGAAGGTTTTTAAGGAGAAGGAGATCTGAGCTAAGCATCTCACATGCAGCACACGTGCAGTTCATGCACGAGCATGTTCATATGCACGTGCATGAACGGCACCAACACACCTACAAACAACACGTGATAACTGTCCTGTCAAACATATGCCGTTCAATTCCATGCAGAATTTCTGAATCCAGTGATTTAAAACGTTAATAGCTTTTCTACTGGAAAAATCTGTTAAGTACATGACCAAACTGAGTCTGCTACACGTTGAACGACGATTCATCCGACTGAGATATTAGTTAGTTGGTTGTTGGACCGTTTTCATGTATGAAGATTCCAAACTTTACTCACCACAAACTCCTCTTTAAAAGACTTGTTGTTATCTGCGTGGTTTATTTCACAATATTCCCGAAGCTTCTCTGTGGGAATTGGTTTACTGGTTACAAACTTGCCTGGACCAACCACATCTAAAAAGGAAGAATCAGTCATGAAGGTAAGTCTTTGCACTTCCCTCTTAAAAATGCATGAAGCCCACAAGGGATTTTACTTTACTACGTAATCTACCCAGAGTTAATCACAGGCATCCCAAGGTAAAAAAAAAAAACATCACACATTTACGAATACATACAGGGACCTGAATCAGCACGATAGAAATACAACAAAATTAAGAATTGTGAAAGGTTTGAATCCAGGAGTTGTTGACAGTGACTGGCGTTTCGACAACCTGTGCGGTAGTCATCTTCAGAGTCAATGTGAGTTGTATCATGTCAGTTGATGGTATTAAACTCTGGTTATTTGGTCAATTAAGTCGCGATATTATTGGTCAGCTGTTAAGTCGTGATGTTATAACATCGCGACTTAATTGACCAGTCGGGTCAATAACCAGAGTTTAGCATGCTCAACATACTTATAAAAGTAAGAATTACAGCGTAGAGTCTAGCCACCCTTCCCCTGGAAGTTTCTAAAAATTTGACAGGTCCAATTTTATCGGAATTAAACTGTAAGGTTTAGATCACTAAATCCGTCAAATACACATTTGTTGTGCTTAAATTTTATCCTTGGTTCAAATTCTATTTTCCTTTTCACTTTGAGGGAGGGGTGAAGGTGATGTGTGACAATCGTGTTGAAACCTACAGAAAATTAAAATTTGAGCCACAGACAAAACTATACCACAGCACTGTGTCATTTTAGAGCATAATGTAACCTGAAATCAGACTCTATTTTTTATGGAAGCTGCTAAAATTGGGCCCGATCTCAGGTTAAGCATAACGTGGTACTCGGTACTGGGAAAAAAAGCATCAAGGAATTTCATTACATCAACACTCTGACGTCACGGCAAAACATCGTCATCTTGCTCAGATGCCGCCATTTTCGCTTCCATGATATCAGGTAAGAACATTAACATTTTCGAGTAACGAGTTGTTATGGTATGACATATTAAGAAAATTTGAGAATTAATCAAGAAGTTTTACTCCATTACAGCATTCACGTTCGAAGTTTTAATTTAAACTTATACGCTAAAAAAGTTGGAATTAACCTTAGTTGGGAGCACATTATCGAGAAATTCAGCTGTTTTCAAGGGTGTTGACTTTTTTTGTTACGGAAAATCTTAGGACTTACCTAGGTTTATTAAGAATTAGCTGTTTACAAGAGTTTTGTTTAACCGATACTTTTGTCATTTCCCACAAACTACGACCTGGCTAATGTCAGCTTACTCATTAACTGTCCATTACTATAAGTCGTTTGCCATGCAATCACCTGCAGAGCTCATTGTAATGGGTTTCCCGTCTTCATAAGTTCTTGGCAGTTTATACTCCAAAGCACAGCGTGTTTGTTGACAATATCGTGCTAAAAGGTTTATTTAAATCTTAAACGTTAGATCTGGGAAGTTATTAATATTTATTTCCTAGCGGTGCCAACTTAAAAGATGTGCGCTTAAAAATATCGCACATATAAACAAACACTTGATTCATGGTGCTGTTGTGAAGTAATTTGCCTTGTATTTGAAAACTTTTGACCAAGGGCTATCGCTCAACACGTCAGCTTTTGGAAATTTCATTTACAGAAAGCGATTCACCTTAGAAAATCTCGTATAATAAAACTCATTCTATATTTAACAAAACAAATTGCAGCAACTCGTGGAAGCCAGCTGAAGCACTCCAAATGAAGACACCCTGGTCAGCATTCACGAAAGTTTTCAAACACAAGTCAAATTGTTTTTATTTTTTTAACACTTATTAAAATTTTGACCAATGGAGGTGAAAAACTGCAAGTTTATTTCGATTTAATCATTAATTCAGGCATCTCACCCCACGTTTCATATCATATAAATCTCAGGTTTATTTTTTATTCACAACCATAAATTACTTCTGGAAATACTCACAAAGAATATTATTCATATTTACAGCTTCAAGGTTAATGGACGTTGAGTATTTGAGTTAAATACAAAATAACAACTTAATGTTAGATTCCTTACAAAACTAGAAAAAAATTTCATTTTTCTGCAAAGCGAAAACCTAAAAAAGTAGACTTCTAGATCAAGAAAAATAACTTTAATTGCATATTGAAAACAACGACCAAAAAATAAATAAACAAGCGCAAAAAAAAAAAATAAATAAACCGAAGGAAACTTAAACCCTACAGGAGTTGAGGAAACAAGACAAATAAAAAATTGTAAAAAACATCAAGAATAGTTTGTGATGAAGCAAACAAGAAAAAATGAATGACAATAAAATAATTTTAAAGGAAAACGATAATTCAAAATTAGTCAGTGTTTTCCCGTACAGATTGAGTGGCAAACCCAAGCCAAAATTTTAAAGTTTGTTCAGAGTTTATGTAAATATATGTAAATACAATGATAGAACTGAACATTTTTGTTACTTCAAAACCAAAAAAATACCAAATATCTCAACAACTTGAAAATTACAATTTCCAAGCCACCAATTAATAGTTATCAAAAAAGTAGAAAACAAAACAGTAATTTTGAAAAGACATAAATAAGGTAAATAAACACCATATTGATCCATAAAAATAGTAATAATGGGAATGAAAATCAACTAAAAAATGTTATGTAACAATACAATTTTAAAACTTTGTACTTAAAATATTATTGATCAGTCTTTTATCGTCTATTCGACATTAATATGGTGCTCTTTAACTACTACACCAAAAATTGTCTAGAATGATTTTATTATAATTTAATTTGTTATCACTGCAAATATTTTTTGCAGTTTGTTTCCATAGAAAATGTGATTTGCAACAGTTGGCAAGAAGCTCAAGATAATATTGATTTGTTTACTTCAATTTCGTTCCAATACTAGTAGCTAGTTTGCAAGCCCAACAACGCATTATTATTATTGTTCAGTATAATGCCTTAAATGAGTAATTTTAAAAGGTCTAAAGAGCCAAAACAATTAAATTTAGGTCACCTTTTGTTAGAAAATCCTAAAGAACTCTACATATACTACATTGTGTTAACAATAATCCCGGAGAAACTGTGAATACAAAGATTATTCATATCTAGAACGTTTCTGGTGCTTTGGTGATTAAACTCACTTCAGTTAAGGTGCTTTTGTGCTAGCTATGCAACGTTTTGTGCAACTTTATTTAACTTGGAAATTTTGCTGTGCAGCTGCACCACAAGTAAGCTGTGAGCTAGCTCGTTTGGGAGTATGAGGGGGGGGGGGGGGAGGTGAAAGGAGGGAAGAAGAGAAGGAAAAATCTTGTGTTTCCCTTCCCACCTCCATACCCCCCAGGCTAGGAAGTTTCACCATCAACGTTTATTTATTCTTTTTTTAGAACTTTGCATTTTGTTGCATTAAAATGTCTTGCACGTTAATTACTGGGTCACAGCTAAATTCACAGCTTTTCTAGTTTCACTATAACTACTGCAGCTGATGGCTCATTTTACTAATTCTTCATTCACCGCTGACTCAGTAAATGGTTTGCACAAAGGACTAAACTTACTGGTGTCATAGCCTGAGCATAGCTGCTTATTCATTCAAGCAGTTTAAATATAATATTATTTATGTACACAGAAAAGCAGCATAAATGCATGCACAATAGTCTAATTTCTTTGGAATTTTTGTCTTTCTCAGACTTTAAATATTAATAAATATTAAAAACTATAAAATAATTTGAATTTTTTTGTTTGCACATTATATTTTTTTACATTTATATAAGTTTCTTCAATATTTTTAACACACCACTTGAATTTTTCCTAGGTTCCAGTGGTTTATTTAATAAATGGCTAATCTTGGATACCAGTTCAAGCCTTGAATTTTAAGTTTAAGTTTTTTTAACTGACTTCCACACACCATAAAAATAACACATAGTTATTAGTTTATCATTACGCCACCCCATGGCATTTCAAAATTTTTAACTGGAGATCGAACAGAAAAAAATACTGAAAAAGAGTGCCTTTGAATAATGAATTCTCGTAATTTAGGTGAAAAAATCTTGTTTGGAAGCAGACCAGTAGGTCATTGATTATTTTAGAAGAGGCCCCAGATTAGTGGATTTCTTCATCTTACAGTGCTCTTTAAATTTATTTGTAGCTGTGGTGATGGTTTTTCGTTTAAGGCTAAGACTAAAAATTTAGACAACCATGAGGACGGCTGTGTGGTGCAAAATTTTTAAAACCAAGATACTAAGGTGCTCAGTCCATACTAACTAAACCCATGACTCCGAACCTTCAGATCCCCGTCGTACACCTTGTAAATATTTAACTCCAGGGACGCGGTCCAGTGACTCTTTGTCTCCAATACCACTATCATTAGAATTGGCAACAGCATATCGCTTGCCGTCAAGTTCTGTAGAATCATGCCGTCTTCTGTGTTTTCTGTCAAAAAGGTATGAGATATTTCAGTTTTGACATGTATTTAATCCTCAGACCATGCAAGATTAATGTCTCACTGTGACCACACCTACTTATTTAAGTAGCATTACGTTACATAAAAATTCAAATCTGCATATACATTAATGACACTCTCTATCACGAAAATGGATTCATATCTACATAACCCTTTGAACCTTAAGGTAGAAAATGCACAGAATTTAATGAAGCTGAAAATAATAATAATATTGTAGAATATTGTGTGCACTTTAAGCATATCCTCCCAATGAAAAGTTACTGCATTTGGATATTTGAAGGAGCCACAAATCTTCGTAAACTGTTGCCTTTGAATACTCTGTACGTTCTAAAAAATTGTTCTTTTTATTTACTATAAAACAGTTATATGACGCGGATTAAAAAATCTGTTTAAAAATCAAAACATTTGGTTGGTGGTGGCCTTTATGTTAGGTCAAGACGATCAGGGAGGGAGAAACTAGATATTTATCAGGGTCAGAAATTTAAAGACTCACACCCTGCACATAGACACCAGAAGAAGAGCAGAATCACACAAACAATCAAAAGATCAGTAAAACAGAAACATTCTTTAAGGCCAGTTTTATATATCATTTTTCTCACTACACTGTTTCCTCTTGCATTGCACAAGTAATTATTATGTGTAAATTACTATATACCTACCTTATCACTAACACAACAATGATAATCACAAATGCCAAAACAATTATCCCAGCAAAGACTCCGCCATAAAGAGAGCTATTATCAACACTGCTACGTCCTGCTACATCCGCTAAAACAAAGCCAAAATGATAATATTATAATCCATTAAACAAGGGTCAATTATGATGCAGGGCTCGAAATAACGGCTGGTCGATGGACAATGTCCAGATTGATTGGGGAGTTGACCGGTCAACCTTTTGTCTTGCTGGTCATGCTGACCGGTCTCATTTGATTGTATTGAAAAAAAAGCTGTTCAGTTTTTTCAGTTGTTATCAGTGAGAAGCAAGTCGCTGTGTATTGCAGAATTTTGATCTGAAATCCCAGGTGAAATGCAACTAGGACCATTGTTTACAATTCGCTTCGCGCCTGTAATGTATTTTTATTGTTGACAATACGTGCTATAAGCTCTAAGCAACGACTTTTTTGGAATTACATAACCCCTGTTTTAAGAGTTATTTATCTTATAAATTTGACCAGCCAGAACCGATATGTGACCAGACTAAAATGAATCTAGCTGGCGTCCGGAGACTCTCCAGAAATTATTTCGAACGGTGTAATTAGTATAGGTAATAGCATGATTTGTAGTGATATTTGGCATAAATACCACGAGTGATATTTCAAAATTTTTATACGTAATTTCACGAGCCGTTAGGCGAGTGAAATTTGAGACAATTTTGAAATATCACGAGTGGTATTTATGCCAAATATCACGTACAAATCATGCTATTATTTGTTTATACTGCTACCCACAAAAGGTTTGTAATTTTCAAATGTAGGTATTTCAAATTAAGCTGAAATACCACTGCTCTAAGCCAATCAAATTGCAGTAATTTCTCATGTAGTAGTATAATACATTTAATTATTATGCATTAAATGGTATCAAAATTAAAATTAAATGCATCTATATATAGAGTGCCATACTCCACTTATTGTCCATGGCACTTTACAATAATACAACTAATAAAACTACATAAATTATCTAAACAATAAATCAAGTACCATACTTCAGACAAAGGATAAAAGTTTTTAAAAATTTCAAATCGAACGGCCATCCTTAAAAAGATAAGTCTTGAGCTTAGTTTCAAATACAGTTACCAGTGATGATTGCCTAATATCCAATGGTAGTTTGTTCCATTGTTTTTGTCCTGCTGCAGAGTATGCCCTATTGCCATACATTTTCAGATTGGCCATGGACTCATCAAGCAACTGGTTATTTCAGGATCTTAATGAGTGGCCCTCAATCTATTTATTTGTTTATTTGAATGATTGATTGATTTTTTACCTGGTGTTTTTGTAGTCTCAATCCTTGACACTGGAGAACTGACCTTTCCAGGATAATTGCTGGTGAATGCTTGAACCTGGCAGAGACATGGTGAGCAAAGTACAGCAATGTACGATAGACAAGATCAGCAAGCTTCATTTTCCAACTAGGCAGTATTCAAGCCTCAAGGTTATTGCAGGTTAACTAGACAGCTTAAAAATATATAATTTGACTGCTATTGGTATCATTCCTTAATTTCTTTTATGGCATATGACTCTCTGTTTTAGCAATATCCCTCTAGGTCTTGACACATTTTAGATGGTGACTGGGACTCCTTTGTCCTTAGTTATGATTTAATATAATTATGTAACACACAGATCTTATGAACTGATGAATATATGAATTTCTGAACTGAGGAATGAGACTGGTCTAAAAACCTGTCAGCCAGATGTTAAAGCAAACATATGGAAAACCATATCCATGTCATCAGGGGGTGAAACATGACATCACGACAGAGAGCAATACTATAATAATTAATATACATCTTACTGATTTAACTGTCAAATTAAAACACTCACATATATTAAATAGTCTGTATCCTTCTTGAGTCCAGTGATAACATAAAATAAGGATGCATTCTTTAATCCTTTAGCAACCTCTACTGTATAGTTTTTTCCAGTATTGTTGGAGTACAGGAACCTGTATTTTGTAATGATTCCATTGGGGAATTCAGGTGGCAGCCAGGTGACTTTTACAGATGTTGGCTTTTTGTCGGTGACTGCAACATTACGTGGTGCACTGGGAGCTGGAAAGGTAACATCCAATCAGAAATAAGTCAATAAAGACAAGAGAAACTGGCAGAGATTTAAAGTATGTCAATGAATCATATGCTTTTGCCTTTCACTCCTGGGAGCTGTTCCTATATAGCTATGAGATGTCTTTTTGTCCTTTCTTTTCTTGGTCATTACCATCAACTAACAAATGGTTGTGATTGTACAATATAATAATCACCCCACAGACCGAGCCCTCATTTAAAAGGTTGGCAACATCCAAGGATTCCATATAATCCACAGACACAAAAATAATTGAAACCACTTTATTTGTACAGAATGTCTAACAGGAAAGTCTGGTTTATAAAGAGGTTTCTTTGAATGACAACAGCAAATGATTTTATCGGATGGTAAGAACTGTGCAGGGGCGAGGCATCGGTAAAGAAAAAGGAAACACAAGTAAAAGCTGCAAATTTACAGATGAGGAGTTGAGCACTCATTATAATAATTAGGTTTAAGCACTCATTGTACTGATTAGGGTTAACCTTTCATTTTACGGATTAGGGTTAAGCACTCATTTTAGCACTAGGGTTAAGCACTGTTTAGAGTTAGACACTTATTTACAACGGTTAGAATTCAGTTAATGTTTTTCGTATTACTGTTTTTGGTTTTTATGGTGTTTTTTCAATGATTCTTGAATGGACTGCATGGCTCGCATGACTCGCTGGCTTGCATTTTATACACACTCAACTGTGCACAGCATTACTGTGCCTTCATGTAATGGCATCTTGACCATAAATTTAGGAGGGTCAGTACTTAAAGCCAGATCTCACCTCCTTCTTCAGTCTCAACAGTTTGATTGTTTGAAAATGGACCCCACAAAACGTTATTTTGAGCATCCCTGGTTCCTTCAGCCACCCTTATTGAAATAATAGCAAATGGCTGTATATTTCGAAGCTCAATTTCTCTCTCAGGTTCCAGCTGCAAGACTGTATAGTCAGGTCTTCCATTGGCAGATCTCCGTTTTCTTGCCCTTCTAGTCACTTTGGCAGGAACTGTAAGTTCAGTTCTTTTATACTCTCCCTTTACATTCTTGAATCTCCAAAGCATCCTGATTTTAAAGAGTACCACTACACCATTAAGGTCCTTTGGTTTCTTCCACTTTAGTCGCACACTGTGAGGACCAGTACTGTTTGCCTCATTATCAAGTGGTTTACTAGGAGCTGAAAAAGATTGTAGATGAAAATAACTATTAATATCATACCTGTCAACACCACAGAGTTGCGTAGGGCCTTGGCAAGTTAGTATGTACCTGTCATCTGTTTTGGACATCCGTTTTTTTTTTCTAAGCCATCGCAGGCTGGGTCACAAACATAGCAGCGTATTTCACCTTAGCTAGAATATAAGCTTGTAAAACTCTTCAACAGAGCACTTGAGTAGGTCACAAAAAAGCCACAATGCCTTTTAACCTTCTCAAGGACAGTAAGAAGATTTCTCTTTTTTGTTCATCATGTTGGGTGTCGATCAATTGATCAGTTCGTAATTACATTTCTTTCCTAATCATAACAAGGACAAAATTCTCAAATCTGATTGGCTATCAACTGCCTTGATTTCAGCCTTAATAGAACAGTTTAATGGGACAGTACATGTCATAAATGCCTAAGTAATTGGACAGTACGCACCATCATGTATGCATTTAAATGGCTTTTTTTCTCTGCTAGCAAAAAAAAAAAATCTTGGAATTTCTTGCATTTTGATTTAAAAAAGAGCCTTATATCATAAATTCTGTTAAAGTTATGATTAAATGGTAACAGAACTTCATGTTGACCAATTTAGTCTGTAATCATACTCGAGATTAAACAGATCGCACTCCCGTGATTTTGTTAATCACTCGCATGATTACAGACCAAATTGGACTCCACTCAGTCCTGTTTACCATGACTTATTATAGGAAATTAATGCTCCATGAAATTAAGGTATTGGAAATCAACACAACTTAAATTAATGCGAATTTAGTGGAAAACAGCATTCGAATGAAGGAAATAATTATTGCGAAAGAGAAGGTAACAATTTCAAAATGAAGAAAATTATTGCAAAATACAAACTTTGTTTGTTGTACTTTCCCAAAATGTACAAAAAGCATCAAGCAAAGAAATTGTCATGATGCATTAATTTCCTGTAATCAGGTAATCATTTAAAGGTCAGATTTACCTGCTGTCTCTGTTAGAATATAAAGTGGCTTACTGCTTCCAAATGCAACAGTGTTTTTTACTTTGACTTTGATGGTGTAGTTTGTAAATGGGGTCAGCCCACCAATGAAAGCTTCCGTAACATTGGGCATAACTGTCACAATCATCATCATTAAATCATCGCCAAGGTAGCTGTCTGACTCAGAATACAACACATTGTATAATTCCAGTGGTCCATTAGGGTACTGTGGCGGATCCCACTTTACATGTATGGCTGTGCCGTTAATTGGGTACACCTGAACATTTTGCGGAGGACTTGGTGCTGTTGAAAAAATGGCAACAACTGGACAATAAATCATTGGTATAAAGTGTAGAACATATAATCACCAATTAGGCCCAGGACTCCCATACAACAGGCTCCATTGAGCAAATGATACTTTGCGGCTATTACTTGGAACAAGATTTCTGATACCTTAAGATCCCAAGCACATTCTCAGACTTTAAAAAAGCAGTCTGACAGTTAAGGTTTTAGCTAATTCTATATAATATCTATGTTCTATTAAGTAATTGGGCTTTTTATTGTAAATAGCTATGTCAGGGGCTTTATACTGTAAATAAGTTTTTGGATTAATTCCCTTTCTTTCTCTATTATTTTATTTATTTGTTTTGTTTTGTTTGCTTTTTTTTTCCCCTTGGCTTCTTAGCATATTTTTGCTAGAGGTCTAACCAACCTCATCAAGCCCGAGATTAAATAAAGCTTCATTCATTCATTCATTCATTCATTCAAGGATCTGAACGGAACATAATGTCCTGAGCTTCCCTTTGATGGGATGCACATACACATTACTTAAGAGAAAAGAGTCCAAACAAATGTCTGTCTTATCTGAAGCTCAGTGTGCAGTGTGCTAATCACCATACCCCATTCACGCCACTTAAGGGAGAGAGACAAATTTAATTTGCTTTAAAGTGGAATTCGAAGCATGTCATGAGCATGCTTTCACCTTTGGCGTCAAAATCCTGTGGAGGGTCAGATTATTTGTATGAGTATATATTTAATGAATAACTATAGTAACAACTAAATTTAATTTAAAGAGGAAGTCTCACCTATTTAAGCCTCCACGGCTTCTTGAGATTTCCTCACCTTTTGACATTCTTTTGCCAACAAAAGTCATGTGATTGTTATTGTTATCATTTCACAAGGCCAAATCGTACAAATTTATTTTATAAGGAAAGATCGTTAACATGAAATCATGTTGCGGGCAGCAAATTCCATTTACCGCTCGGACTTTGCCGTTTGGCCAGTGAAGAGGAGCGTTTTAGAGAGGGCAGTTTGTCATTTGACCACATGTAGTGATAATAATACATCTCTATCCACCCATTCCTAGGGATATGCATCATAATCCCACCCTTTCCCTTGGGATCTCCTACGCTAAACAATACCCTAGGATATCTTACTTGCTTCAGTAGTCTTTGCTACAACAGTGGATGGATCACTTGTGAAGTGTTGATTCCTTGCATACAGCCGTACCTCATATTCAGTATATGGTTTCAAACCCTTTAGATGGTAGCTAGTTGTTTGGGGAGGAATGCGAGGAACTGTTTTAATCCAGCTGTTACTGTGCGTTGTCCGGTACTGCAAAATATAGTGCTGTAAAAAGACATTGCTTTTCTCATCTGATAACAGTGACCAAGTCAAGGAGATAGAATCATCAGAGCTGCCTTGAAATTTCAACTCCACCACTGGCCGATCTAAAAACCAAAACACAGAGAAATATTAGTCATGATATCCACTGTTATAACAAATTCAGTGTATAAATCCATTCCTTTTCCAAGTGGGAACAATTCAACTTTAAGTAATGGGTATAAATTTTGCCTTATCGTTATAAATCATTGGTGTCATAAAACGACGCAATCACTTGACAACAAAATTATAGCATGAAATGATTCATTGGCCAAATACTACAAGAATTATAAAATTCTTCATACCCTACCCATAAAACCTTAAACATTCTAAATACTTTTCATAGCTGCAGGAGGAGTGTTTCACAATGTGAGCCCGGGGCCAACATGAGCAAAGACCCTGTCATCAAAGGGTCTTGCACTTAGTTTTAGGACCTTAAATTCATAGCTGCCATGCCATAAGATCATAGGTTAGAAGTAACACTCTCGTTAAAACAATTAGAACCTCATTTTTAAATCTTACCAACTTTCACTAGGCTTATGGCCAGACTGTCAGTTCCCTTGTCATTCTCCACTGTACATGTGTAAGGGCCAAATCCATCTGCTCCCTGAGGAGTTACCCGAAGTAATCCACTCACTTCTGAAGTAGCAACAGTGCCAGAGCTGTTAGTCCAAGTGTATCGAGGGGCGGGGTTACCATCAGCCACACATGATAGGTTTGCTGTACTTCCTGACCATGCAGGGACATTTTGGCTTGATGCAGTTCTGTTAATCCTTGGGGCATCTTATATAAAGTAATGCATCAGTATAATCGTTTGTGTTGATCAACAGTCAGTCAAAAGCAATGGAATAATGTCAGACAACCACACACTTAGCTGGATACAGGGGAAGGGAGGGTTAAGAAATATGGGGGTTGCTAAGCTAAAATCTGCTACGAAATGTTCATAAATGAGCTAGAGGGCACTCATGAAAATATGAGATATGCCCAGGTCAAAATATAAACTAAACTCCAACTACTTATTATTAACTGCAATTGGATGAAACCCAATCTTCATAGTTTCTTGGTTACATGTCGCTACTTCAAGACACTTTGTTGGTAAGGGGTATAGCCCAAAATATGTCGTAATAATAATAATAATAATAATATAAGCATTGTACTGCAAGCCACATAGCAGACTCCATTCTAACGGATCAATTTCCCTTTTGTTCACTACAAAGAACTTTTATTATTATGAAGAAAAAAAACTGCCTTCACAAAAAAAGTTTTAAGAAAAGTGTTCATGGCTCAGGTGTCTGCCCATAACTAATTTATCATACTGTTAAACAAAATTTATCAGTTTAACTTACAGTAAACATTGATTTCAAACTCTGCAATGGCATTATCACCAAAACCATTAGTAGCTATGCATCTGTACCATCCGTGGTCTGATCGCTGCACATTTTGAATGAACAATGATGACGTTCCATTACGAACCAGTTTGTTACCAAGGAGTTTCACCCATTTTATTATAGGTGGTGGAAAGCCTTCGGCTTCACATCGTGCACTAACTTGTCCATTCTCATCAACTTTTTGATTTTCAGGACGAAGAACAATTTGTGGTGAATCTGTTACCATAAAAGTAGTAAGGAGTTATATTAACATGAAAGATTAGAATCAAAATAGCAGTTAGATTATTTTGTGCTATTTTTGACCATTGTGAATGAGCAAAAAGCCTGAAAATTAGCTGCTACTCCATTATTAGACCCATGTTTGAAAATTTGAGACTTATCAGCAAACAGTTAAAGGGATAATTAAGATACAAGTGAAAACGAGACTTTAAGATTCGATCCAAACCACAGACATGATATATGAGATTTTAAATTGGATCAAATATTTCCAATAATAATCCTAGTGACTAACGTCAATTTTCTCCTAACGATATCCATACAATGTCAAGAGATTAGGTTATGAGAATTAATGAAATGACCACCTAAGGGAAAATGCCTTGATCTTTTATCAAATTCTCTCAACTCATTCATGAAGGAAATGTATGGAGATCAGTTTGGAGCATTTGTTTGTGGATATTGGGGCTTAAAGGGTTAAGATACAATTTTTCTTCCACAACTAAATCAGAGTCATCTTATGACTTAGTGTAGTAAGCCAGATGAAAATCCTGCCAACACACAGAGAGACACCATTCACCCTTGAAAAGAAAGTTTTACTCACGTCGGACATAAACTGTGATGTCCTTCCTGGGACCTGTTCCCATATCATTTTCAGGCTCACAGCTGTAAATTCCACTTTGCGAAAAGCCCACTGTTGTCAATCTTAACTCCCCAGACCTTTGTGCTCCTCTATCATTTATACTTTGACCTTCAATGTAAAACTTATATTGTGGGGGAGGATTTCCATGGGCTTTACAAGTGATGGTAATGTAAGAGCCATCACTAACAGTGTCCTGTGGTGCATCAGTTTTGATGCTTGTGTCTTTAGGTGCATCTGCAAGCAATACAATGATGACACAATGCTTCAACAGAATGATACTTGAAATCCTAGTTTATGTACCTCATCATACTCAAATACAACTAATTATAAGCTAAGTGCAGAAAGCACAGGGTACAGCTTGTGGGAAGTCATATGTAGGTGAAAGAAGAGTGACAGTGATGACTCCATTGCGGCTGGAGATATATAGTAACACTGTGCATATGGGACAGAGGGAGGTCAATGAGGGTAAACGCAGTCTGACAAGGTCCAAATTGCAAAGGCTGCAGCTGCAGGGAGAGTCCAATATGAGTGAAAGTTGTATGATAAGGGGAGCATCAATTTAGCAGTGATGGGGTGTGACAAGGGCAAAGTTTATTGAGGGTGGAAGAAGTGCTGTAAAATTCCAAAAAGTGAACTTACAAAGTACAGTGATTTCAACTTGCTTTTGTGATCTGCCACCAGCATTCTCCGCAAGACAAACATACGACCCAGCATCTCTCCAGGTAACAGATGGAAAATCTAGTTTCGTCACCGCTACTTTTCTCTCCTGTTTAAGAATTTGATCGCCTTTTTTCCATGTTACTTTAGGCTTTGGTCTTCCAGCTGTGTGACAAGCAAGCTCTCGTTTTTCACCTTCAGTCCACTCCTCTGTTTGTGGCAGCAATGGAAGAATTCTTGGAGGATCTGCAAGAAAAGAAAATGTTATAAAATTGCATGCTTACGTTAAGGTAGACTGATTGCCAGGTGTTCCTCTGTTGTAATCCAAAAATAATAATAAATATTCTAAAGTTGCATACCACAGGGGTCTATCCTAGGGCCTCTTATGTTCAGTCTTTACATGAACGATCTACCGTTCGTTGTTAAGTTTTCAAGTGTAGAGTCATATGTTGACGACACAAAAGTTTATCTTTCGTGTTCATCGGAAAACATTGACTGAACATCCGACTTATTGCCTCTTGGTGCTGTACGAATAAGTTGCTTATTAATCCAGACAAAACAAAACTTATCCTCTTTGGAACGAAACAGCTTTTAAGTAAGGTACCTGACATTAGAGTCCCCTTTCTTGGGCAACATTTAATTCCTGTGTCGTCAGTCAAAGACCTGGGTATAATCTTGGACTTGAACCTTACTTTTAATGAACACGTTAACACTCTGCCCTGATCTCTTATTTCTATCCTAAGCAGAGTGAGGCACCTGTTTTCTAAATCAGTACTTACCACCATTCTGAACTGTCTAGTTTTTTGTAAACTTTTTTATTGCTCGACAGTCTGGTCTGGAACGTTTGTGCACAACATAAACAAACTGCAACTTGTACAAAACTTCACCACCCGTGTGTTGACTAACACCAAGAAGTTTGATCATATCTCACCAGTGCTGCATGCACTCTGTTGGCCTTCTGTTAAGAATCAGTTACTAGTGCGTGATGTTACGATGCTATACAAAAAAGTTAATGGCCTTGCACCACCATATTTAGAGTGTTATGTCAACAAAAGATCAGCTATCCACAGCTACAATACTAGATCTAGGGACAATTTAGTCGTACCCCTTTGTAGGACAACCACAGCACAGAAGTCCTTTAGTTACAGAGCAATCACTGCTTGGAATTCTCTTATAAGTGAAGTAACGAAAAATAGCGAAACACTCTCAGTTTTCAAGCGCGCAGTAAAGCGCGAAATATATAATAGTTCGTAGCAATTTTTAGGATTAGAATTTTTAGAATAGGTTAATTTATTTATTTGAATTTAGTTTTTTATCATAATATTATTGTAATTTTTATAAGTAGTTTTTATTCGATTTCTAATTATTGTAAATTAAATCGTAAGAGCCACTGGCTGGAGATTTAATAAACTTGCTTACTTACTTACTTAAAATGAACAATAATTTTTGAACAATGGTAATCTTTTGATTTAAGATGATTCAGCCACACCACACCAGATTTAAAAGGGAAAGTTGTTCATTAATTAATTTACAGTGAAAAGATTACTACCAGAAATATGTACACTATGTTACCATTTTTGGAAAAAGTCTCTAGAATGCCTGTAAGTACTTGTTGAGGGGCTCCACCTGACATGACAATTACTTGGATATCAAACTACATTGTTTTAGAAAGACTGCAAATCCTGAACTTCAAGAGTAACCGGCATCCAGTTCTCTTACAATCAAACAATGGTCTTTGGAATAAATAAAAATGATAAGCAAGTGAAAAGGGTTTTACTAATAAAATTAATATACTGTTAAATATATTCTCCTCATCAAGTAACCACAGGAAATGTAGGGGTATAGAATGGTTCCTCCATGATTGTCTTGTAGCTACCTGTGTGTAATAATTTATGAGACTCACTACAAAATTAAATTACCGGTATGTTATGTTTATAACTTAAGGAAATGAGATATTCAATCAACATGCTCACAGCATGGACTAACCACAATAAATTGAAAAATGAAGATTGAAACTTATCTGTGCTAAAATAGTTCTGATGTTCTTCACAAATTCTAAGAGTTAAGGCAGATACACCAGTAAAATGTTGTTACTATCGAGGAGAAAATATAAGGCTTCATAAAGAATTATCACAATGAGAAGAAAATCCCCAAATTTTAAGATAACAACAAAAATAACCTAAAACTTAGAAAAAAACAATTATGCATTCAGCTGCTGATCCCTCTTACACATATTTTACTATTCCTGTAATTTGACAAAATTGTTACTTTCTAGAATTTCTTGTCAAACTCAGTTGGAAGTATGCGGCAATAAAACACAGGAAATTAATAATATTGTTAGGTAAAAATATTGCAGTTTCAGTAGATGATGCCAAAACCATGTTAAAGGCTTACAGCTTAAATTTTTTTGTTTTTTGTCATCTAAACCTTCATAAATTATTATCAGTAAGTTAAAGGCAATAAAAAATATTTCTTTTTATGAGTCCACTTTTTGTTGGTGAATTCTCTCTTCCGGTGCTTTAAGACCTAAAATCAAAGATTTCAGGGAGTGCCATCTCTTTCATGGAATCCCCCTTGTCATATACCATACTGAAAAGTACAGGTCTATCAGTTGTTTTCACTCCAGGTAACTTGACTGTATCCCAAAAAGGCTGATCATATAATTACAATATATATATAGACTCAGGCAAAATTACAAGGCTACAAAATTTATCATATTGTAGCCCAACTTTTGGTTAGGGTATCAGTCTTTCTATTTTTGTGAATTAACCATTTTCTGCAAGTACAGTGTGGAAGTTTGTCTCATAGAAAAAACAACTGCATAGGCTAGCAGTAAGATACATTCATCCAAACTTGACAAAAAATCATCTCACAACTTAAAGATGATCAATACATTGGGAGCTTGAATACATTTAAGGGCAGCTGTAAAGAAGATAAAATGATAGTCTTTTGCACGCAAAAAGTCATTTAATCACTTGACGATTGAATCAACACTGCACCTAACTATTATTAACACCATTGCCAGCTCTTAATGACCTGTTCTGATCATTGTCATAAGATGCTTTTCAACTTTACAAGAAAGGCTGTCAAAGATAAAAATTAAATAGCATTTGATCTATTTCTCACCATATTGCAACCTGCAATAATAAGGGATTATATATTTACATAGTTCAGTTTTATGAAAAGGAGAATGAAGTAAACAATGGGAAAATACGCTTGGCTGGAGGCTAGAACTTGATATATTTCCTTGCACTAATTTTCACAGTGGGTGTCATTTTCACCATTCATGAAATAGCTATGATGTCACTGTATGTACGTGAGGGATGCCTATTCATAATTAAACACATTTTGAGCACATACTTCATAATTTACATAAGAGCTAGGCATTTAAGGTCACCTTGTAACATTAGTTAATGTCAATCAGTGAAACTGTTCTACAACTTTGGGTGCTAAATTTTCCTAACAATTAATTCAGAAATTTTAAGTACAACTTGTCAAGGCATGATTTGTCCCTATACTTTTTACCGTCAGCTTAACTCTTCTTTTTTAATTATAAAGGTGTGTAACACACATTAGAAGCAGGAAACCTATTTCTTAGTTTTCACAAGCCAGGCTATCAAACTGATGATTAGTTATTGACTCTATGTGAATGTCACAAAAACTTTCCAAATAATCACCAAGTAAAAAATATTTTACACAAGGTTTTGTTTTGCATTAAAACTGGCAAATATTCTGTCAAATGGAAAGAACATATCTTTAGGCAAACCAGAATATATTATTATTAAGAGTTTAGCCACATTTATTTGCCACAAATGATCCATTTCTATCTCCCTTTTTTAAATTAAATATGTAGATGCAATTAACATGTGAAACTGAATATTCTGAGATTTACAAACACAAAGTCAGTGAGATCCCAAATATGTACTCAGAATATTTCAAATTTAACATGTTGTTTCAATAAAGTAGATTTGTCTGATATACGTAGTCACAAAATGTCAATGTAATGTCAGTCAGGTTTTAACTTTAAAATATGTCAAATAAATTTCATTTCCCATAACCAATGTTGAAATTCAGTAAAAATGTTTTTTTAAAAAACATTAAAATTACACTCAATAACTAAAAGCAAATTTAAAAGTTTTATAAATGTACACCGAGGTCTCAAGAGAAGGAAAGTTAATAAAAAACCCAAACTATCCAGTTGTTGTTTAAATCAGCTCCAATAGGAAACAATTTTAGACGTCACTTTAACAGAACTAGTACCTTCTCTAAAAATATATTATTCAGACTGACAAATAATTTTAGGGTTGTCAACAAAATACCCACTAGGGGTGGTATTATCACTTCTGCCAGCTGTCTCATGAAAAATTAACCACTGAAAGTTCTTCAAAAGAAAAGACAACCAGTTATTAAAATAGTTCAAATTTCCGGTAAAGACAAAACAAAACCCTCAGACCAATGGTAAGAGCCCCATCCTTGGGTTTTTTAAATGTCCAATTTCGGTTTCCTTTAAAAAGCAAAGAAGTGAATCAGTGTAAAGCCATTCCTAAAATGCCCTACACATGAGATTTGGTCGCAAGGGCTTTGTTTTGCGCTGTGTGAGGTGAAAACCTACAGGGCTGTTTCTTGCGTCCTTCGCGATCTGTATTAAAAAAAGTCACGAACAAACATTAATCCTCTAGTTTATCATATTTTAAAGTCCCAAATGTCTGCGAACAAGAAGTGCTCGCCATTTGACTTCTTATCGTTTCATTACAAATTAATTTTGCACCGTCTCCCATCATTACAAGCTACTACCAAAATGAATATCTTCCTAAGTGGGTTTTGACATTTTCATTTGAAACACTTCTCATCTAATGATTTTCCAACCCACAGAAAAGTTACGCCTCAAATGTACGTGGGTGACACAAATTTAAACGGAACAATAGCAAACTATTCAAGTGTTGTGAGCGCATCTTTTCTGCTCGGAATAAAAGAGCACGTAAAAAATATTGGCCCTCGTTTTCCACGTTACCGCGACAGAATAATCTTATCTTAGAATATTTGAATAGTACACCGGGATAATAAAGATAGATTACAAAAAAACATTACTAATATTAGAGAGAGAAATTGTCCGCTAGATCTTACGTACGACGGATAACTATATTTACATCGCTAGGGTAATGCAACTATAAACCTAAACAATTTGATCTGATATGAATGTAAACAACAGAAGCTTGGAGAACTCTTGTTTCCCAAAATTTGCTATTTGTAATGTCCTGTCTTAAGGTGATACTTGATTGGAAATATCCGCTTGACAGACTTTTTTTACCGCGATTTTTCGATTTCAAATTGTTAATCTGTTGGGTAACAATTATGCTGGTAATCTAACGCCAAGCTAAAGAAATCGGGCCCAGATAATCAAGATCAGGAAACAAGTTATTTTCTGTTGCATGTTGACACAAAATTAAATGCCAAAATCGTCCGAACATTAAGACTAGAGTTAGTAAGGAAGACACTGTTCGCTGAAACGAACATTGTCTCAGATTTTTCGAACAACTACGTATGCCAAAGAACATCGTGGCAATGAAATTGTGGTTTTAAGAGAGTTCCTTGATCGCATTGTTTATGCCTAAGCTTTCCCTCAGGTAACAGATTTTCTGCGAGATCAGTTTTATCTCCATCTGATCTTCGTTGATCTCGATCAAGTTAGCTTTCACGTCCAAAGCGAATTAACCGCATCCAAAAAAATCTGGAAGGCTACTCGGTTGCTTTGTTTGAACAAAATATTCAGAAAGCACGATAAAAGCATTCATTACCTTATTTATGATAAATAATATTTACTAAAAGCTGCAAAAGTGCTCTGAAGAGCGCAATTAAACGCTCTATATCATACGCAAATAGGGTGCAGTTAGGCCCGCGACCTTGATCATTACATACATAAATTGCTTTATAACTAAAACGGATTGCGCTCGGCTTTGCACGCAATTCTAAGGAAACGAAAATTAAAATTTTACACTCACCTATTACTTCAAGTCTAATCGGTTCCCTGTTTGTAAGGAACTCTCCGCTGATCTGACACATGTAATAACCTTCATCTGACAAATCAACGCGCTGTATGAATAAAGTGGCTTGCTTTATGATTTTCACCCTGTCAACAAACTTTGTCGGCATTTGCGCCGAACGTTGTGCTGTTTGTCCTTTTATTCTCGTGTACAATTTATGCTGGACATTTACCCCATCTTGGCTGGTACCCCATACAATAGAATAACTTTCTCCCGCATCGACTTCGTAGGTCCATTGTAGAGAAGCATTTTGTCGTACATTCACTTTCACTACGTCTTTGCTTTTGGTCAGCCTAAATGCACTAACTGCAACACCTAACGATAAAAAATAACCAGGATCAAACCCTGAAAGACTCAAACATTCAACAGCAAGACAAAAATATATACAGGGGGTTTAAAGGAAGTTCAAAAAGATAACGCAAAGAGACAACATATAACCGGGAGAAATTTACCTAGAAACTGAGCAAGTCCCAACAACAACAGTACTTTGCAGAGGAGCATAGCAGTAGAAATCACAGAGTCTTTGGAGAACCCAAATTGACAACCGGATTTTGCAAATGACTACATATCGACCTCTCTAATACTGCACGTGGAACAGCTGATCATCTTCCCTTCTTGCTAATCCACGCGACAGATCAAGGATATTTTAATGCTGCATGCTTTGAACCTCTATGCGGTCTCGCGCGTAATCTCTTCCACGTCAATTACATTCCTTCGTTGACAGCCTGGTCACGTGGGCGCGTTATGAGTGAGTAGTCTTTTATGAATGGTTGAAATTAGCATGACCGCCAAAGTTTGTCCAATCACCAAACTTGATTAAAATTCAAAAGGCTAAACGCCATTGTTTGATAGTCAAATAAATGAATACTTCTAATCATGTATAAAAACCTAATTTTAGCCATATTGGCAAGATGCTTAACAGTTTGTACTGTAAACGCAAATTACTCTCATGGGAGTTGGTATAAGGAGATCCAAAATGGCGTTCTGTGAATCTCGGATTAAGTGCAAAACAAATACATCAGCTACTATTTATTTTACTAAGGAAAGCGCTAACTTTTATAAAAAAATCAACATTCTTGGTATTCTTGCACTCTTGAAGCATGAAGATTATCTTTGCTATTGAAAAGGCATTATCAAAAATTGCAAGTCAAAACAAACTAATGCTGATTAATCCGTTTCATCGACAAAGACCAAAGTGTTTAAACTCTTTCTTCTTGGATTCTTTTATGTCTCGGGCGGTAATCCGTGAGTTGAGCCACATATCAGTATGTGCTTTTGATTCTGAAATAGGGGATGATTTTCGAGAGAACTACGAGAGTGTATTTTTATAATCGTATTTGTCGTTTCAACTCCAAATGAATAGGAAAGAAAGAGTAATAACAGGTACGCAAATGGTTATGGAAAATCGTATTTTTCAGTTTTGTCTGAAATAGGGTAAGAATTTGGACTACTAGGCAGTACACCCCCACCACGAATTCCTAGAAGAACCACCCGGGGGTTTATGTTAACCAGCGTGAGCAAAAACTATTTTAACAAGTCGGTTTGGTTACAGAAGCTCAGGAAGCTTACGACTTCCTTCCGATAATGGCAGATGTAAAAAAAAGTTGTCGAGTATCTTTCGATTGCATTATGCACTAAGCGGTAATGAGCTGTATTGTTCTAAAACTGTCTCCCGTGGAGGAAATAAATTAGCGGTTTTATAGTTTTCAATAATAATTACAGAAAGGACACCTTTCTGGCTCAAAACGCTAATAATGTGTCCACAAAATAAACAAGCAAATTTTTTTATTTATGTTCAATTTAATGAAAAACACAGTGATCTCTAACTCTTATCAGTTCACGCCGCTCCTACAATGACCTCACGCACCAAATCTTTACTTACAATAGGTCTGATATGTCCAGTTATCAACCCTCAAGACAGTTCAAAAGCGAACACGTATCATCGTAGACAAGGTGGGCGATATGTAAACTATTGTCATCACAGATCAAAGCTGTCAAGCAGTCCCTTCAACAACGGGAATCGTGCCAAATCAAATACGTTAGAAAAAAAAGTGTATAATCTGAACATTTAACATTCTCAAATGATATACAAGTTTATCAATTTCCAGCTGGAGTCCTTAACGAATGAGGCACCCAACCAAGTCAATTAATATCTCTGATTTTAGCCTTATATATCATCAATTCTTGTCAGATCAATAGCGGTATCGCTATCTGAGTCTTAACATCCAGCAAGCCATCTGATAGCCCTCAGAGAGCTGATGCAGTCGCTATTCCTCCTGCTTTTGCCTCGCCTGCTTATTTTTGCTTCGTTTTCCAGTTTAATTTCGTTCTCGACACACAAACACACACACACAAAAAAACTACGGCCGTTTCATTTTTAAGACTACATGGGAAGCTGTTTCGTTCTCTTTTTAATGCTGATTTCAGGATTGAGACAGTGCATTTCTTGCATGTTCCTGATCAGAAATTAAGATCCAGGATCACTCTGATCATGGTACATCAAAGGGACCGCTTTATCCCATCTGAACAAGTATTCACAGGGTAGCGGCAGTACCTTTGGTGCGCCTGGGCCACCATGATCCCAGAGACTGCAAAATCCTAGTCCGTTACTTCAAAGAACGCACCCTCAAAGCTCTTCATACAAACTCATTACGTAAAGAAATATGTCATTCTTGGCATTCTGTACACATAGATCCTACGTTTCCGTCACTTAAGCCTTTGCGGATTTGGATAATGCAATATACTATAAAAAGATTATCATGATTTGTTTTCTAGTGGCCGTAGCAGGGGCTTGGAAGTAGTGCTACGCAGGCTAGTTTTCTAGCTTCATTTCTGTTAATCCATAAAAAAGAACTGGACAGGATAAAATCGCCGTTTGCAAAAACAATACAGGCTATAGGTACTTATTACAAAAAACATAATTATCATAGCTAATTATCAGGTGGTACTGAACAAAACGTGTAATAAATGACACACCAAAACTGAAATTTGAAAACTTTTACAATTTGTTTAACATCTGAGTAACACAACCTATGTCAGAAAATCCGCAATGAGTTATATTCCTTCCCAGAACTATCATTGTTACCGTTGATGACCAGAAAATATTATGAGATATATTTATTTTTTCTGAGTTAGCGCGATAGGAAACCCTTGCATTTATGATAGATAAATAAACAGATAAATGAAAAACTTCCGTTCCTTAAACTGTTATGAACACAGGGTGTATTTTGTTTCTTTTAGCCTGTTTTGAAAACAGACAAGTAGGCTTGATTTGTTTTCGTTTGACTAAATATCAATCTTATGGCCAGTTTCACACGATTCGGGAAATTAAGATTCTGCGCTTCAGTTGGTTTAGGCGGATAAAATAAAGAACCAGAGAATAAAACAGTGGGCAAAGATCGTGGGAAAATGCAAAAAATGACATTTGACCAGACTCTATTAAAGGATTCAGCTCATAACTGATCGACATTAGCTGAGTAGTCAATGAATAAACAGTGAATGTGCTTGAATTAGGACACCTGTCTCCACTTAGTGTGGGGTTTCAATTTTTGGGAGTTTCCGGATGAGGTATTTGAGGTAAAGAGTGATCATTGTAAATACAAAACTTGCATATATTTCAGTGGTGTTCAGTTCCCGATTGCTTGAAAAGACTGAAAAATGACATTTGGTATTTTGTTTTCCGCATTACTAAACTTACTTATAAAAACCGCAAAGCCGTTGAGTACTCAAAGCTGTTGCGGGTAAATTTATACTGTATAAAAAAAACTAACAATCTCGGATTACGTAGCGGAATATTTGTGATCAACGCTTTTTGAACTCCATGTTTTACTACCCCGCGCAAAAAGCATAACATTTGCACCTCTCCGTACAGAAACCTATATGACCCCCTATATAACAAATCCCTCACTCGACACTTACAATTTTTCCTTTAATATCTTTAGTAACGAGACCTTGCTGTGTAATGCGAACAATTGGCCCTGTAGTTTTAGTCTAACTTCCTAACAAGGAGGTCCTGTGGATGTGCTTGTGTCTCGATGGCAAAGGTCAGTCCTGTCTATATACTAAATGCAATGATGTCCTGTAGCCCATTTATCGAGTATATGGGTCTTGATTAAGATGACTGAGATATACTGACATTCCCTGATTATTAGTATGTTTGACCGAGCACATGCATCCGCCAACTGGTCGACTATCAATTTTAGAATTTCTCACTCACCTTCTGCAGCTCTGACTGTAACCAGAAGGAACACGAGTCTCTGCAACATAAGGTCAGGTTGTAAACATTTCATCATGCCTTCATTGAATTAGAAATGCGCCACTTCCGCTGGTATAGCACGTAAACGTGAAATCACTCTTGATTTGGGGCCAATCCCGCAGTTACAGTATAAATTAGAAGCGATACTGTTATATCTTTAAAGTGCATATCATTCTACTTGAAATTCCAGCTCTATGCAGCTTTCAACACTTTCCTTGGGACTCACTTCATCCGGTGAGGAGCTGTGCGCAAATTGTCGTCTTAACAACATACACAGTACTACTACTGAATCGCATCGGCGTGACACAGGGCATCTGCTGCTTTATATGGCAGACACGGAGTAGGAGAAGCGTGGCTCTGTGTGGTGAAGTTCCTCTGTGCCTTTAACCTGAGATCAGGTTCCTTTCGCCTTTAGATTAAGGGCACTCAGGGAGAGGGAGAGAGCAGAGCGAGGCAGAGAGGGCGTCCCAAACCCTACCCCCAATAACGCCTGTTGGGCAGCCTACTAAATTTTTTAAACTACGATACGAGCAGACTCTTATTTTTCTTTGCAAAGTTACTGTACGCGAACCCAAGCGGCGAAGCGTAATGTCGTGGTTTGCAGTCGCGCTGGCTGAGATAAGAACTAGACGGATTTTAAGAGAAAAGGCGGGCAACAGGCAGTCTAACCAAATTTAGGCCAATTTTAGTTTAATGCGAACCAGACAGCTCTCACCCAGGCAGGGGTTCTAAAATGGTTGAATGTCATTGTTGTATTTCAACGCGGTTAATACAGTATTTACAATACCGTCATTCAGACCAGGGGCTCCTGTCCCGACTGAAATGTTTCATAACGTTTCCCACGGTCCCACGCGGCAATCAAGACCATATTTGAAACAAGAGAGTGTTTACTTTCCACTTTTTTAAAAATCAAACAGAGTCCTAAAATTATCGGGTTCCCTTCGGGATGCAGAGGTACAAAGGTGTCCTTAGTCCGTAATAGTGCGAG